CGCGGTATCACTTTAATGCTCGCTTTTGCTTCTTTCGGTTCACCGACCGTTGCTTTATAATGACTGTCCGGTCGCATAACTAAATCGAATGTATACTGCGACTTAAGATCCAAAGGCGCAGTCAAAGTTCGAATCGGATCTACACACACAATCGTTATTGTAAACGACTCCGTTTTGGAACCTCAACGTGTACACAATTACCTTTAGTAATGTAAGTATTACAATTGCGATGATCACTTTTGACGTTACAGCGCCATACGTATTCTATGTGGTGTTGCTGATCGTTGGGCTCGTTCGGGTTGTGCGACAAGGATGCGTCTAACGTCACTAAATGGTTTACATTGACGACTATCTCAGGACTGCCAATGATTTCTGCTTGAAGATCTACCAGAGAATATTCGAACATACACTGCAATTGGACACTCTGTTAACATAAATTTATAACGCGTCGCCGTTGTCCGTACCCATACGAACCATGTAATGATTGGGTACTTGACGTTTGGTCAAAATCTTGTTGACGTCGTTGACGTTGAGCTCAATCACTGCTGTCATCAGGCTTTTATAACCACGCAACAGCGGCAACGTATATTTCGGAATGAAAAGGTCTTGCTTGCTTGCTATGTGGTGATCGAATTTAAAGCTAAATGGATCTAAATCTAAGTGGAACACAAAATGGTAATAGTTTTTCAGTAAAATTCGTACGAAGCTCAGCGGACTAGTCGTTATAATATACTCTCTAACCCCCTTATCAAGAGTGCCCGCAGGGAGGGGCAGGGGGGGGGGACAATTCCACTCTAGTTTTTCTGCAAGTTAAATAAAATTATATCCAATATCTTAAATTCTGCAAAATCATAGGCGGTCTCCCTCGGAATTTTCACCTGCTAGCGCCCTTGCCCCACAAGTTCAAATGATTATGGCCTATTACCGGTATTCAAATTACAACAATACTATAAATATATTTGACTAAAGCTAAGTGTTTTTTTCTTAGTGAATTTACTTAGGTACCTATGTGTATGTGTAATAATAAATAATAACTGTATGTACCTGCTTTTTGGTAAGAAATATTAACTACCCAATTGAAAGTGTAGTCAAGAGTAAACTTGCACAACTCAACATCAGGGGTGATGACTATTTTTATTTCTGTATCTTCTCCTCGGGATAAAAGCATCTGTTCCCCTTGCTTGTTAAACGTACTAAACAAATCAGTTTTTAATTATTTTAGGGTACTTTAATTTATTTATTGAATTTAGTCAAACTATGATTTTAATTCGATATAAGCAAGACAGATAGCACTTTAATAACATTATAATTTGATGATACCGACTAAACATCAGCCTACTTCTTAAATCTCAAGTCTCAGTTTTTGTAATATGTTTTAATTTTGCATAGGAAAGAGAAAAATAAAAATTACTTACTGGTAAATGAATTTTAAATTTAAATTTCCAAGAGAACTCAAGTTTATCAGATGGTTAAAAATAGGCAATGCAAATCAACTAAATCAAGCTGTATATCTATTTTATAAATATAACACTTGCCAATGTTCACCGGGGTCAATAAACGGTAAACAGTAGGAATACTCATCGTCGACAACAAGATGTTTTAAATTGGTGTTGAATAGTGCATCTTGATTTGCATAGGTACCAGTTAATACATTTCTATATAGACCACCCATTCTGCCATTGTCTTTTGCGCCACTGAAGTAGACGTTTGTTCTGTCCATATTAGTTTTTGGTAAATAAATTGGAACGCTGAAGACAATAACGTCCGAGTTACCTATTTAATCAAAATTTATAATATGTTAACATAATCCTATGGATTTTAATTATTATTTAAGTAAATTATTTATTAAAATAAATAGTGATTGGATTTAATAAACTAGATCATTTACAAAAACCCGGGAGTCAATATAAACAATATACTTTAACCGATTAAACAAGATCTAACACTCAACACTTTTCTCTATAATCTACTAGCTGGAAAGTTAGGTTAAAGATCTTTTTTTACTTTATTTGTTTGTACTGCACTTTAAGTAGTTAATGTGACCTCTATCGGCAACCTCATTCCACCCACTTATCGTCCACCGCCAAATCTTTCGTTTAGAGGCCAAATCTACACGTCTTTCCTACTTATCGCATACGCCGTCGTTTATGACCTATGAGCGTGCGTTTACCATAGTTATTTTTGATGTCATCGCACATGCGGTAGTAGACTTTAAAGTGGTCGGAATCTAATAAAGTTATGCAATCGTGGTACACATATTTGGCGGATTTAATGTCCGTTTCGTAGTTCAATGTGTGAGAATCAAATTTGTTCACTGCCGGTAACTTCAAGGTAAGGGAGAAACTCTTCTTGACCGTTATGTCCATGACGAACATCAACCGTATTGTCTCACCGGGTCTGACTTTAGTGCGGTGGTAAAACCTCCATTTTTTTGGATACGACTTGTCAGTCGCTAAAACAAAACAAAAATTTACGGTTACACGCATAGGCACACCTAGGGAGACATAAGCTCCCCCAGACTCAAAATTAGTCTCCACCCAAAAAAAAAAAATGAAACCACAATCCTTGATTCGTACGCATAAATTTTTAATAATGCACATACGCTGCTTAAATTTGTTATTTAACAATATTTTTGCTTATAAATATTTTTTTTTATATCTATTGTTTTGAAAATAAAAATTATGTTTAGTCATAATTTTAGCACCCCCTAAAATGTAGGTCTAGTTGCGCTTATTGTTACATGGCGATACCAGGGACGATCAGTCCGGTGAATCGGAAGTCATCCTGATCCTTTTCGCTGACATCAGTCTACAAACAAGTCACAGTGACAGATGACAATGGCTTAGTTTACACTGCAACGTAAGCTGGTTACTGGTAACTAATGTTTCTTGCGGTAATATGGTGTAAAAACTTGAAATTGTTATCGCAAAAAGGTTTTCTAAACAAATTTAAGATAAGTCCTACTGTTGGATACAGTACCCAACATTTGACATATTATGCAAAAAGCCACCATCAAATTTCGTCAGTAAAAAAAAGTTCAAGCAAATATTTCTCACCTTACAGCTCTTAAACTTAAGTTTATTTCAAACAGTTTATAACTTAACTTAGTTAATTATTTTTAATAAAATTTACATAAGCTAATAGTAAAATCATTTTACCCAAATTAGTTAGTTAAAATAATGATTAATAATTAAAAAATATATATTAACGCATTACTCTTGAAAATTTATTTTACAATGTGGTAATATTCACTTCTGTTTATTATAATTATTTTTTTGTTTTAAGATTAAAATATTTTTAATTGCGTAATATATTATTTGATTTTCTTCAAAAAGTGCAAAAAAAATATGTTGATAATTTAACAAGACTATCAATATTAGGTATGCTAGTCCTCGTACTGATCGGCTTACAAAAATATATATGTGCAGCTGTTGGAAAAAATCCTTACAAGTTACAATAAAGTCTGATCTGGACGATAAGTTCGCCTAATACAGAATCGCCTACTTTAAAACATATTGTATACATAGGCCGTGCTGACATACCTTTTTGTTGACCCCCCAATAATGATTAATAAAACGTTAAACGGTCGTTCAAGGCTCAAATCGAACATCGAACGGATGTTGGGTTATTCGACATGGCCAAGTGGACGGTTACCGTGCGGATACTGGCAAAAATCGCCTCCAAACAAGGCCGGGCATTTGCACGTGGGCTGACCCAAAACCGACAAGCACTGGCCGTGGTTTTTGCACAGGTTGGTCGTCATCTTTTTGCACGCGTCCTCGTACTGCTCGCATCGATCACCGGCGCGTGGGCGCTGTAAAGCGTTTGGTATATCGCAATCGCACCTCTCGAGTTTGCCCTTTTCGTCCCACACGCCACATCCGCCGTCGTTGCACTCGTTGCCGCAAAACCGAAATGTCTGGCCAGAGAACACGGCCGAGCACAACATCAACAATAGCTGCGCTCGACCACAGCGAACAGGCGACATTTCCTACTTTATTGTTATTATTTTTTCGTGGTCTTAAAAACCAACGACCAACGGACTGATAGCCGGGGCGAGTCGATGTTGATTTTGCATGACAACGAGGCCGTCATAATACATATATAGGTACTTAAACGTGTACAGGGTGTCACATGTCTGCCATACGGAAAACGCATTATAATATACTGGTATGGTTCAATATTATAACCGAACAATGCACAACTGTTCCAACCGGACTTCTTCCATACCAAGTTCTTCATTTTTTCTTTTTATGTTTGGATTGTACTTATTTTGGTGTATGAAAAAGATTTTTTTTTTTTGGCTTCTAGTTAGAAAGCTTTCGGAAGAGCTACTAGTGTTTTTCGCTTTGCCTTTGTTATAACTAAATAAAAAGTACAAAAAGGAAACCAAACCCTAACCTTTGCTATCTCATGCTGTTTTGTTGTAACAATGCTACAAAGCGAGCTCACTTCTAACAATTCCTTAACATCATTTTTATAGACCTCAATGTTTTTCTTAAATCCTGTACATGATATTTGTTTTAACCAAAATTCCTTGTTACGCAAAATTATGTTCACCAAACAATTTTTTTCCTATTTATCAGTTCCTTTTTGATAGCGCCCATTGTAGAATTCTTTTTATCAGTTACAATCGGAACAATTTGAATGATTTAAATTGTTTTTTTTACAATGCACTAAATACCTCATAGGAATTAAAGGTATACCTGATAAATCTCCTAGTCCAAAAATCGTATTAAACGCTAAAAAGCACCCATCAATAATAGTTGCAGTTTCAAATTAGTCGAATTATTATTCTATTTAATGACAAGAAATCAATAAAATAATTATTTGTTCTAACATCCCTGTACGTGGCGTTTTAAAACTGTTTCTAATTTCAAGGATGAACTGCAGATTGAATGTATATTTCCTGTGTACACTAATATTTTATAGCCCGTATAGGTAGTTGTTATTCATTTTATTATATTATTTTATCACATTAAAAAAAAATACACAGTTCCTTTAACAAAGACACTTTTTTTATTTAATCATCAATAGTAGTTACTCATAAACTGTCATGCATTTACATCAGGCTTCACTAATAACGTCGATGGCTTAGCAACAATATAATCCTAAAACAAAACAAAATGGATAGTAATTTTAGTATTTCTTATCAATGTGTTAAATTATTGAGATATAATTTGTTTTTATGTAGAACTGAAAGACATTTTAAATTATTCTAATTATTCTTACTAAAAAAAATGTCATTCAAAATCTTTATTTGCAATCTAAAAATAATTATGAATGTTCGATTTAAAAATAAAACTTTTAAAAAGCAAATGGCAATAATGATAATAATAACTGATTAATCATCTATTTAAATAAATAAATAAATAAATTATTAAATAAATATTTAAATAAAATTATTTGCAATTAAATTTACAAAGAGAGTAATGAATTACAAAACATTAATGTTACGAGTATCACAGTCTACCTTGTGTTAAAACAACTAACAATACAAAAAAATGTATTATTTAATATAAATAAATAATTTATGAAATAAAATTATATTTTAATACAAACTGAATGATTTTATTTTACCTGTACAGTAAGATCGCCAGTGGAAAAATTGTGCATTCTAAGATGACAGTCCAAACTTATGCTCATTACATATAACTTATCGGAACTTGTAATACAGGAAACCGACCTAACTGATCCAGTACAACCTCTGAATGTTTTGACTGGCAACGCAGATTTACCGCGGAAATCATAATGGAAAATTGATCCTTTAGACGATCCTACGATGACTTCACTAAAACGATAATTAAAATTATTAAAATCGAACAATATAATGAAAATGTTTGATAATTTGTTTAAAAGTGTCTAGTCATAATAATTTTAACTTTTTTGAATATAAATTAAAGAATACTTACTAATCACTATAATCTGGAATAGTTGTCAAACTAACAAAACCATTTTTTTCTGCTTTACACGTAGCCACAGGTCGTCTTTGACTCGACAAAGGGTCGTGTAAATCAACCTAAGATTTAACAATAAATAAAGTAGTATGAATTATTTATTTAGTATATCTACTTTAAGTACATTGTTTAAAAAACAAATTAAATAACATTTATGAATCAATGAAAATTTGTATAATTTAACAGTTGAAAAAACCAAAAAACTAAAAGTATTCTCACCACTCCATGTCTATGAGATACTGCAATTTTATTGTTGTTGAAAAATCCTACATCGGATACATAACATGGCTGTTTTAATTGAAGCATATCCGGTTTTGGCTGAAAACAAAATACAAGTTTTAACATTGGTGTGAATGTGTGATTTTTATTTATAAAATACAAATATAAATCAATATTTTATGATTTTAAGTCTAAAGTGTAAAGTTAAAACATTAAATAATATGAAACTGACCAATTACTGATATTTTAGACCTGCTGAATAACATATTATATACTAACACTTTATTATAACATAATAGGTACTCACACTTTTGGCAATAAAGTCCACTTTACCCGTTTCTAAATCCCATAATTTTAAAGGGTTTTCGTTTCCTCCAGTAGCAAACTTATTCGATGTATGAGCTTGTTTTAAACAGGATATATTTGAACCAGTATTAATGCTCTTTGAAATATTCTTTTTGGCATTATCAAAACATTGAACAACCACTTTACCGTTATCGATTCCAGTGACCAAAGCACTAATGGATAAAATATAATAGAAAACTTACATATCACAAACAAAAGATAATTTGGTTGTGGTTAAATATGTTAACAATATCATAGATATCTAATTTATTTATAGATGTATCCACAAATTCAGTTTCTTGCTGATGTTACGGACTAATTATTGCAGAGCACATCATCATCATAAGTATATTACCTCGTTGCTGTAACATATATACTAAATATACTCGTTTGCTAATAATCCAAAACATCAGAAAACTGAATATATGAATATTTATGTCATCAACTATGCATACTTTTGTTCTTTGAAAACACCAACAATGGTTCCCGGCTCTTCAATGGTATATTCTTTATTAACCACTTTATTTTCTATGTCAAAAGTTTGTATAGTGCCTTTTGAACCAATAAGAATTTCATTTAAGTCTACACTGTAGTTTAAAGACGTAATGCTATTGATTTGTGTCGCATCTATTAATTTGGTATATTTAAAACATAGGAGACTGTCTTGTTTTCTTTTTTTTGTTAGTTCAACTCCTGTAAAACAAGTAATTGTTGAAAATATGACACTTCATAATCACTCACTAGAGTTAAGTTACAGCCCATTGCAACTGATAAAACTAATAATTTGATACCTTATTAATAATATCAAAAAACTAAATTCATGTGTAATATTTTAGCTTAGAGATTCTTTTTTGAATCCAAAAAATGTTGATTAGTTTTCTAGTAATAAAAAACCAATTTCCCATATTAATCAAACGTAAAAAATTAATTATAAGGAAGTACTTAGAGTTGATCTAGGGATCTGAAATTTTAACAATTTCTTTTTTAATTAGGCTACTATTGATTGATAGGGCAAACCGTAGGAAAAAACAAAAAACAGTAATATTTATAAAAATTAGATATCTCATTTAGGGTAATATTTACATTAACAACGTACTTACAAATAGGTTAGAAATTAATTTTAAACCTAAATTTGATAATCTTTGGATGCATCCATGTCTTTAATTTGTTGCTGATGTTTTGGACTCATTGCTGAGTCCATCTTCAGGGTGATGTCACCGTTTAACTGCCGCAACTATTAATACTAGTGGAACTATTGGCGACAGCCACAAATCAAAGACATGGATGCATCTGAATATTATTAACAATATTTTAATGTATAGAAGCTTTAACTCATTCATATTAAAATATAAACTATGAAAAATTGTGAAGAATTACCTTTTAGAGTTCCATTACTGTGTCCAACAATAACGTCGAAATTCCAAGACATAGTGGATAAGATATATTATTATATTGGAAATAAAAAAGTATAACTTTAAATTAGTAGTATCAAAAATAAATAAACATTTCTCCACAAGTAAATAATTCAAACAAAGTATCAATTCAGTATCTTTTTTTTTTATATTGTATATTGTTATCAAATAATATAACCATGTGCTTTCGGCTTATCGCTTATCATATAGACGCTGTGAGGAAAACTACAGTAGCACCATAGTATAAAAATTCTAAATAAATTTAAGTGAAATCAATTTTGAAATTTAATTCGAAAAAGTTACATGGAAGATTTAAATTATTTAAAACAAGTTTATTTTATCAGCTAAAATTTGTTTTATATTATCCTAAATCGTTTTAAATTAATTAACTAACGACCGTCGCCATAATGAAACACTTGTTCCAAATACAAAACTTCCTACCAAGTACTAGGTCGATGTACAATGTACATAATAATGAATATTATACAAAATCACAAAAGACTAAATACTAATAATTATATTTGGTCTATTCTGAGATATTACTACCGATTATTGATATTATAACTTATAACTTTTAATATTACTAGTAAATAGTAATAAGAAGTAAGTATTTACTATAAACAGTATAGTAGCAGATTTATGTAATGTTTGTATAATATTTTGACTATAAGTCAAATCAAAAATTAAAATCGATTTACAATATTATAAATTTATACTTAAAAGTTATTTCTTACCAGTTAAGCCTAACATTTAAGTTCAGTCTATAGTTTTAATATTGTTGAACTACTTCTTTTTTGAGCTTAACTGTCGAAAACGGCCACAAGTGTTATTATTTGACTGTACAATGACATTTTTTTCTACAGTTTGTACTGACTTAACTGGTATGTATTTCAAGTTTTTATGGCCCAGGGCTAATAGTTTTTGCCACCCCATCTCCACTGTAGCGGTTTTATACGCGTTCTGAAGATGGGGGGGGGGGAGCAAAACAATTTTTGTCGCACAAACTTCATCTAAACTTCTTTTTGTCTTATATAAGACCTTTATTTTTATTTTTATTTATCACTCATATTTACGTCTAAAATAAAGGTTTTTAAAGTTATTTTTCACAAAAATCGATTTCGACCAGTTTTAAAATTCTGAAATTGATATCTTAAAATCAGAAACTCAAATCAAATATTTTTGTCTAATAACGAAAATGGGCCGAGATTTATATATATATTTGTTTAAATAAAAAAACTGAAAATTTTATTTTTTCAAACTGAACAAAAAATGTCATTGCTAAAAAAATTAGAAATAAATCTCGGCCTATTTCGTTATTAGACAAAAAGATTTGATTTGAGTTTCTGATTTTATGATAAAAATTTCAGATATTTATAACTTGTAGAATTCGATACTTCGTGAAAAATAACTTTAAAAACCTCTATTTTAGGAGTGATAACAGATTTTAAAAAAATAAAGGTTTTTTCCGATTCAGCATCGAGTTTATCTATAATAATTAAGTAGGTATTCACTTTTAATGATTCACGACTATCAAAAATAATTAAGTATTATTTCCATTGGAAATAAATTATTGTTTGATAGAAAAATAAAAGTAATCCATTATATTGTACATAATTTTTTTTGAACCACCAAATTATTACTCAAATTTTTGCCTCCCAGGGCTACAGCCCTGGTTAGCCCTAGCGTAAATACGTCCCTGATGGTAGTCAACTATCAAGGCAGCCTCCTTATTATTATGTAATTTCATTCGTTTTTCGAGTGTTTATAGGTAAAAAAACCTTTTTCTGTTACAAAAAAATAATTTGTTAGAAATACTTTAATTTCCAGTAAATGTAACGCGAACCAAGAATTTCGGTTTTCTTGGTTCGCATTATATTTATTTATTCCCAATAACCAATTCTGTCTAACCTAATTATCAGTATTTTTAATGTAGACATTTACATAAGGGCTATTGCAGGACTAAGCCTTCTGTGTATATATATTTTAGCCTCCACAATATGATTATGATTAAAACAAAATTCACTTTTTCTATAAAATAAAGTGTTTTAAAGTAAAAAAAAAACCTTTATCTATACTCTATATGTAAAGCTTATGTAAAATAACACACCACCTGACTTTTGCACACATTGATTTACTTGCTGTAAAATATGTTTTAGATTTTTATCAACACTATTTTAATTTGTATTTAAGAAAAGAAACCAAAGCTAAAAAAAATATACAGACAACTTTACCAATATTTGTAATTTTTATAATTAAGCAATCTCTAATACCACACCATAGAAAATTTCAGCCTGTATTTTTGGAAGGTGGAAGTATAAAATAAATTAATATTAATCAATCAATAGTATATAATTTTAAATGAAGCACTGTAATAACTAATGACGTTAATGGAATTTGTATGTCCTTTCATTATTTTACAGAACTGCTCAATAAATTATACCTAAAAACTAGGAGTCAAATAGTTATGACATGAGAATATGATAATTTTAAAATAATAAATAACAATAACAAAAAAACAGTACAAATTGAATTGTTAATAAAAAAAAAAGTTGTTTACAGTCCTAATAACTAATTAATAATTTAATAACTACTAATACTAAATACAATAGAATAACACAAACATGGAATAATGAATAGTAAGTAGTAGTTAACAATAATGTTAATGATTTACAAACTCAAAGGTAATCGGTAAATGGTGATAAAACTGACATAGTATATTCAATTATGATCAAAAACGAAAGACATAATATTTTAGTTATTATATTTCAATGATTTACTTCTATCATAGTTAAAACAATTAAAACATGCCCAATAGTGTTTGTGTATATTAACGACTCGTTTCATTGTGTTTTGAGCAGTTTTACCAATAGGAAATTCCAATTGCAAAGATGGTAATGGATCGCCGAGCAAAGCTTTCGTACACATGGTCATGCAATATGAAACGGCATCTATGTTGTATCCTCCTTCTAAAGCTAATATTACTTTGCCGCTAGCTAGAGACTTCAAACAATGTGTGAGATGACCAAAACACTCAGGGGTCACTTTACAACCTAGAAAAAAATTTGATAACAAAAAATTAATACTTTTTAATGTTGGCACCAACAAAAATAGTTTATTTACCTCCGAGTGGATCTCCGATCGCAGCATCGAAACCGGCTGAGACTAACACAAGCTCAGGACAGAATTCATAGGCCACGGGTAAAATTAAGTTCTGCATTACTGAAATATATTCAGCATCTCCCATACCAGCCTATAAACCCATATTTAATATTTATTAATCTTTCCAATAGATAATATCAGTCAAACAAATGTTTAATAAGTCATTTCACTATGAACTGTTTATTAATTTAAATCATTAAGGTTTACGATCATAGAAGTTTACTACATATTATACAATTTATGGATTTATGCATAATTACTAATATTTACATTTTACTATGGTAGTTTTTAGATTTAATGCAGAGCGGAAATATTATTCTTTTTTAATTTGGTTTTCTCCCATTTTATGTCCATAAAAATCAATGCTTGACTATGTGAGTCTATTGAGGAAATATTGTATTCCTTTAAAATCAAGAATAACGCCCTAAAATGTATAAATTTTTCATCTTAAAATTACAGAAACATCGAAAAATAGTCGAATTACTGCCAAACTTGTGTGGGATATTTTTTACTTAATACAGTATTACAGACATACAAGGAAAACCATGAACATTAACCTTTTTTCTCAAAAGGGGTAGTAATTTCTTTATTTTACTTTTTTAGGGCTTGAGGTCTGAAAATTAAACTAAAAGTTGATCTAGCGTGGCCTTATATACATATCTTTAGTATTTTTTTTTTATAAAGAAAAAACTGAAAACAAATTTTAAAATTTAGACTACAAATACAATATTATAAAATTTGAGTTATGTTACCAGATGAATCCATTCATCTATTGTGATTTGTGATTTAAAATGTTTTTGTATTAAAATTAAAATTTTTAAAATTTTTTTTCATTTTTATAAGGTGATTTAGTAAACGTAAGAGACATTTTCTTTAAAAGTAAGAGTTTTTAGTTTAATTTTTATTTAAAAATAATTTTAAATTTTCTTCTTACTATTTTTGAATATTATATATTTTAAATGTACAATCAATTATTGTCCACATTGAAGAGTTATTAAGATACACGAGTTACTATTTTTGGGAAACAATTTATAAACTTCATGATTTATATTAAGGTTTTTACCATCCACAATTTTGCATCAAAATGTTATTTGACAGTCACTATATCACTTTTAGTTATAATAACTTCTAGTCTTATGCCTACTCCGAATTCAATATGCTCTTACTATGCTAGGTTTTGAACTTACTAAATATTTTTGCTTCAATTTGAAGCTATAAAGATAATGTTTCAAAATAATGTTTTATTATTATTGTTGTTTATTATTAGTTTTAGTGAGCGGTTCTTTAATATAGCATAATCATTTAACTAAAATTTAAATTTTAATTGAATGACATAATATAATAATTTTTCAAAATAAAGTTATAACTTTATAATAAACCTAATTGGTTTTATGTTACATTCTAACATAAAACTGTTATATGTATCTCCATTTCTATAATCGTCAACACTAGTATAACAAAACAAAGAATAAAATATTTGTTGTGAACTGACATATCTATGTTTTATAACATTGTTCATTGTTGTTCGATTATAAAATATGTATTTTAATTTTCAGTCATACTTTATTCCACGGTATATTGATTGTAAACCCTTCGCCTTCGCCGTAACCAGCAACTCTGTGAGAACCCTCTTCGGAGCACGGGAAAAATTTGGCATTTTGGTATCGATGAATAGATATATACAAAACTCTTGGGTCGGAACTAAATGCTCTCATTGTTCCATTTCCAAAATGAATATCCCAATCTAATATTAAAATCCTAAATAAAAATTCTTATTAAAAAATATTTTTTAAAGTCAGATAATCAGAAAATGAAATATATTATTATTATTATTTAAAAATGTAATAATATACCTTTTTAGGCCATACTTCTGTAAGGCGTAGTTTGCGCCTACAGCAACAGAATTAAAAATACAAAAACCACACGCAAGTTCCTTTTCAGCGTGATGTCCTGGTGGTCGTATCACTGCTACACCAGATGCACTTTCATTACTCATAACAGAATCAATAACCTAAAATTCACAAACAAAAAATAAACAGTTTTTAGTATAATACATTTTACTATTATATTACTCGTAAAACTAAAACTTGTCTTAAACCTAATGCCAAACCTGCAATAAACAGCCAGTTGCCAGAGTAGACACTTTATAAGTATCAGGAGTCAAATAGATTGAATCATAACTGTTTTCTTTTTCAGTTAATTCCGCCGATGACAGCATGTTCAATTTCGATATATCATCTACATATTCTTTATCATGAGCAAGCAGAAGTTCATTTACAATAGCCTCTCTTGACTAAAATAAAATAAAAAATAAAAATGTATTAACAAAATGGTTAATGTTAAGTCAAGTTATAGAAAAAAATATACATACAGGTAAAACAAGTAATCGCGAAGTTAAATTGAATGTTTTAAACATGTTCAAAATTGCACTTATTCTACCAGGACATTCTGGATGTCCACTAAATAAAAACAAACACACATATTTAAATACAAACAAATTGTGTTAAGCAACAGTAAGCAAAAACATTTAAAAAATAAATTATTCAAGTTAAAAATGACAGCATAAACAATTACACAAGTATGAATTTTATTAATATCTTAATGTAGTACACAACAAAAAATACCTTTCACTGCTCTCATGTTTTCGGTCCATTATCAAATCAAATGCAATGCAACATTTGTTTTTTATATTTAGTAACCGTGTCTCTACGAGTAAAAATAAAAAGATGGTGTTTCATTAATATGTTTGCTTTAAGACTGCAATCTGCATTGTAATTTGTAGCTCTACAAAAAGTCCTTACTATACTATACTTACTAACCTGAAATTAAATGATGTAGAACTGAAAATTCATCTATTTTGGACATATCTTGTGTTGGGTAACAATTTCTAGTAGGAAATACACTAGGTGGTTGTTCGTCATATGAATACATTGATATTGGCTTGTACGATTGATTTATCAAAAATTCATTCTGGAAACATTTCCAGAATCGCTGATGTGCATAGATCACATTTTGTATTGTTTCAACAACGCTAAAATTAAAATCTCACAATAATTACAACAAATTCTTAAAAATTTGAAACTAAATCTCTAATTGAAAATTACAATCACCTATCACAAGGTTTCACAGTCTTGTCAAGTAAAGGACACGGATCTCCGAGTAATCCTCGAAGGGTCAAAGCAGCACCTTCTGCAAGCGATTTCAAGCAATATCCTCCCTTAAAAATAATAAAATTTATAAAATTATTTGTAATGATCATTGATCACTCCATGATCACCTCCAAGAAAACAGCAATCCTACCGCAAGCATGGGCCATTAGAGCGTTAATCATATGTGCATAACACGCAGGAGTTACTTCCATTTCGCCCTAAATAATAAACATAATAATCTGAGGGACATGTTAAGTAAATTAAGTTAAAAAATTAACATACTTCGGGACACCCTAGAGCAGCATCATATCCTGATGATATTACTATGACATCTGGTTGAAACTAAAAAAAAAAATATATTAAAAGTTCTATTAAAGAGTAAAAGTGAGTATTACAAAAAAAAATAATAAATTTATACATACTTCGGATGCAACAGGCAATAAAATGTGATTTATAATAGCAAGATAGTCAGAATCTTTCATTCCAGTCGTATTAAGTGGTACATTTATATTGAAACCCTGGCCATCACCTTGGCCAGTGTAATCCCAATCACTTTCTCGCAAATTGGGCCAAAATTGTCCATTCTCATAACGGTGGATAGAAAAGTACAGTACTCTGAAACAACAACAAACGATACTTTTTGAACTATTAATTAATATAAACATTATTACTACATAAATACCTAGGATCGTCATAGAACATTTGTTGAGTTGCTTGTCCGTGGTGAACATCCCAATCAACAATCAGTATTTTTTCAACCGAGTAAAGACGAAGACAATATTCGACAGCTATAGCAACGTTGTTAAAAAAGCAATAACCACAAAACTCTGATTTCATGGCATGATGTCCAGGTGGCCTATATTAATGATATTGAACAACTTTTTATAATGTATTATATATTTATATATAAAATATATATACCTAATAAAAGCCATTCCATTTTGAATTTTATGTTCACAGATTGCTCTTAAAAGTTCTATCGAGCTTCCTGTAGCATACAGGGACTGCTTATATGTTGCCTGCAAAACAGAAATTTATAAAAAAAAAATATTGGTACAGTTAAAAATTTAAAACTTACAGGATGAATATAGACAGCATCAAATTTAGATGATAGGTTTTCTAAATTATCAGCATCTGTGGAACCCGCAGTTGATTTTAATAGGTCAATTATTTTTTGTGTGTGTTTCAATAATAATTCTCCATTTGAAGCCATACGGCATTCTATTTGTACACACCTTTCTATTAACCCTAATTCTTTACATCTATTTCAACATAAAACAATAATAAAATATAGATACTAGATAAATGTTTAACAAATAACCATTTTCAAAGTTCATACCTTTTGATGATTGAATCGTAGCGCTGTGGATTTTCTGGATAATTTACATCCCAAGTACATGAATGTACAGCGAAATTATCGTCGTAAACAATACCAGTTTTTTGACAAATTTGATTAATGCATTGTCTCGACTGTTAGACGGAAAAAATGTTATTAAATTTTTCAAGTAAATATGTAAATTTATTTAATAATGCTACTAAATTGCAATCAATTATAATTAAAATAATAAAATTTGAAACGTTTTAAATTGTTTTCTTTGGCAAAATTAAACGTGTTAGGTTTTGTCAATATCTCCTGTTATAATAATTCGATTATGTTAATTGTTATAATTATTCCTTATATAATTAATGACATTTAAAATAATATTTGTTCTGATAAAAACAAAAACAAATATTCTATGTAGTTTTATCTATTTATTTATTTTTTTAATATTCATGTTCAAAATTTATTGACGCAATCAAATGTTTCTAAATTTATTAAACAGATATACATAAAGTTTCCAATTATTCTTTCCAAAATGTGCTAAGCTAATGTATGATAGATAAGACTAAACATTGTTACACAGTACCTAAGAATAAATCAAATGAAGAACTTTAAGTTGAAAAAGATTTACATACATTTTAATAAGATCAGTAATAAAAAACTAAAACAGTAACTCATCATGCGTACAAACATAACGTTTTGAATTAATTAGAAAATTGAATCTTTTTCAATATGTTAAGCAAGCTTGATATAAAAAAATATTTTTGACATTTAACCTACTATATTATGTACATCCTAACTACGATTAAACGTCAATGTCCTTGTTATTTTGTTCAACAGTTATTTATAAAAACACGGTAGTGAACTTAATGTTTTCTTACAATTTTGTAATTATCTTGAACTTGATCGTACAGTTTACATTTGCTCAAATCTGTTTGCAAATATTCTTTTTTCCTTGCAGCAATGAGATCAGCTGTTGAAAGTTTAACTTTGTTATGATTTTCCTAAAAAAAAGGTATGTTTAATTTAAAAAACTGAAATACAGATATTTCAATTTAGTATTAAGTATTTAAACAATAACTAAAAAAAGTAGTTTTCTAAAACACTAATATCAATAAATCATATTGAAGGCCTAATTCGCACATTTTTTTTTTTACAATAAATTAACACACTACAGTTCCAAATTGAATAAATTATTCATAAAATCAGGTATTAATTGGTTTTCTATTATAATGTAAACCAATTTTTTGATGTTATGATGTTTGATTTTTTGAGATGTTTTTCATCTAAAAATTTAAAGTGATAATTTTGAAGTTACGACAATTGCAAATTAGGCTATGGATATAGATATGACAGATTACTATTTAACAACTAAGACAATTTGGTCAAACTATTTTAGACAACACTAAAATTAAGTATTTGTTCATAAATACGAAATCTCAATACAGATTACCATTCATGATACCCATTCTTTAATTTTCCTTCTAACGAGCGCACTGTTGTAAGAAGTACATCAACGAGCTTATCAAAAAGCATGGCTGCTGGAAGGTCAGTTACGTAATATTTAAGAAATATTCTAGCGACTAGTAAATTATATAAATCACAATATCTGCATAGGATTCTAATATAGGTATTAAACATTACACACAAAAGTATTATAATAGCAAGCATTATCGGCCAGTGATGAACGACAGCAGATTTACATTAATGAGATAGTGACACACTATCGACTGAGCGGATACAATTGTTGTTGAAAAAACTCAACAAGTAATAATCACAGCAACAACTAATAAAAATTGTGACGAAATTAGCTAATTTGATACAAGTAACTTTCAGTTCGAAATTATTAACGGAATGTAGGTATTAAATGTGTAACCAAGTGCCAATATATTAAATACCTTACCATTATGTTTTGATCGTCAAGTTTTCCTGACAATGCATCTAAGCAGAATGACTGCTTTGGACGCCGGTACGGAACGAAAGGGGCAGGCTTCGAGGGCGGTTGTCGGTATGCAAATAAATAAATGCGGCCTGTGTTATAGACAATAATAAAATACAATTAATGGGATAAAATTTTTTTACCGCCAATCGGTTGAACTTGAAAAAAAAACATTTAAGAAACACAAATACTTATCACTTGCCCGGAACGAACGAGATGTAACAATATCGTTATCTCTAAACCCGCACCGTTGATTAATCAATGACCATCCAAAAAAACAAACCTTCCGATAACGCCGACAAGGGGTTCCAATAGGCAATAACGAGTAGGTCGGCCTACCTACTGTGCCAACAATATTGCATGTCCAAAATAGGCAACGACGATTGCGTACCTACGTCCAGTAGGCAAGTAGAATAACCGTAGGTAAACTGCAAAAACTTAATATTATTATGTATTATGATATGCACTATGTTGAGTAATAATCATTAATAATATTTAATATTATGATTTAGGTAACGACACGGAATTGAACCTGTACCTATAAGTGATTTATGAAATTCTACTAGTTAATATCATGTAAAGAAATCTAGGTATACACTATTATTTTATAGGAGAAATGAGGACATACTCTGTGGGTAGATCCGAAATACCTAGTTAAATCATAACTAAATCTAAGCATTACCAATGGGAAGGGCCAATTCGATGTAAAACCAATTATAAAAGGATGTTTTCTGGTTTATAGTTTATAGATCAAGTACTATTTCGTATTCGTAATCCAAGATTTAATACGCGGATTCAGGTCGACAGACGATTTTTAGTTTTCTAACTTATAGTGCTTAGAAATGTCAATTTAATTTAATTTCAAGTTAGTCCTTGAATTAGGAGTGAAATACCACTAATTTAACTCCTAAAACTGTTAGATAGTTATCCTTATTCTATTTTATACTTAATTTTATAAAAGATAATAAAGATTTTTTTTATAGACATATAAAAGTGATAATATATATCTGAAGGGTATAAAGAAAAATACAGACGTCACTCTTTTAAAAAAGGCTATTTTGTTGTTATGAAATTCGTTTAGATACGAAACGAATCTTTTATTTATTTTTAAACATGATTAAAACCCGGAGTACCATCACTGGTGGTCTTCTCCTATCAAGCAATCAATTTCTTGTTCAGTACTGTTTTTAAACAATTATTATTTTTTAACTTTATTTCTATTTCTACATTTGTTTATTAATATTGAATTTTTTTCAAGACTTACAAAAATGGTAACATCTGTAATTTTTTTAATTTTAGAAGTTCCACCTCTACCTAGAATATAATATATAATTTTTTTTAGTATAACTAGTGAGTATTTTTTCGAATTTAAGATGATATTAATACAAATATTGATAAAAACTATAATGGGTTTTTAATTAAAATTTAGGTATTAGGGTGGATACGAATAGGTTTGATAGTTTTATTCGTGAAATATTCTTTCAATTTATCAGAAATCCGAGAACAAGAACATTAAAAAAAATATATTACATTCATTCTAATTTAATGGATGGTTTTGCTCTAAAGTTTAAAGTCTAAACTATTATATGGTCTTACGTAGCACTATTTAGCTAAGAAAATATTTTAAAACGTTATTATAATAAAAAATTATCATCAATGGCAGATAATAAAAAAAACAGCCTAGGAAATAAACTTTCATCGGACCAAAGTGCCTCCCTCCGTCTGCTTGCTTCCCCCCCCCCCAACCTTTCATCATGTTTTTTAAAAATGTATATCATAAATATCTTAAAATTTAATAAGCTATTCTGTAATTTGTATATAGTTATGGAAATAATATAACATAATATGGTTTTATTTTTTTTCTAAATAATCTATGGATATTTATTTTCTTACGTGAATACATAATATTCAAAACATGTTTTTAGATGCAGGAATCATTTATTTGTATTATGATTTAATAACGTTTATTCAAGACAAATAAATATGTTTTAGTGTGTTGTGTGATGTTTTGTTTACTTACTCAAACAGTTGCGCGGTAGTCATACGTCAAATCTCAAATGTCAATGTATGTAATAAAAAAATATACTTAAAAACCAAAACATCTTGTTATTGCATTATCAAGTGACTCATATTTTATCATACATATATTTTTATGATTAATTATTATATTACTAACATAAAATAAGCTTAGTTACATTATTTTACGTCTCTGAGAGATTTGTGTGAACAGTACGGATGGTCGAGGGTGGTAACCTTTAGCCGCCCCTAAGACGTTGCCCGGTTTGCATTGCGAGAAAGCGGTTTACCATGCAAACCATTTTACGTCTCTTATAAGTTATAATAGAAAAATGAATAACCTCTATTATTTTTGGGTCAGTAAATATTTAACTTGTAAAGTTATTATTGTAGCCTGTAGACCAAATGTCATTTTTTTAGAATTTCAATTTTGATAAAAGAATTATTTGCTACAAATTTTAACTGGTCGATAACTAGTATTGAATAATTACATTTAAAGTTATTAAAGTTTGAAGTTTAGGACAATAGGAAGGGTATCTAAACGCACGTAACCTCCCAATCTAAATTTTTCGATAACTCGTATAGATTATCGGGCGTAGGTAATATTAGGTTTCTACTATAGTGTAAATAATAAACTAACATCGATTACATGATACGATTATAATTTGAATTGATTTTTAAATGATTTCGACTATAAATTAATACTGTTCATATGATAAATCTAAAAAATATTAAGATTTATAAAAATTGTAATAAGCAAATAAATGACAAATAATACTTTTTTTAATTTTAACACAGTCCGGCATGTGTGCAGTTACACGTATCACTACATCCATTGTAAATGGTCTAAGGTAGACTATGGTGTCTAAGGTGTTAGTAAAGAAGATATTAAGTATAACATTTTTCTTTCTTGAATTTTCCCTAGCAGCACAAGAATATTGGTAGCTCCTACAACTATACCTCTTGCCAGAAAGATACATAGATATTACATATTTTTATAAGAAAATATCTGTCTTTCCCTCTTCACCATTGCGGAAAGCAACCTCATGGGTTTTATAAATTAGTCCCAATCTTTTAAACTGAATTTCTGTTATGATTAGTAACCATAAATACATATATGATTAGACTATTAGAGAATTTATAGTACACTAATCTCAGGACATTTATTTACTAAATAAAAACAACTTTATTTGAGTACAGTATTGATTATTTTTTTATTTTAATACATAGTATGACAAAAGTGCGCATTGAACAAAAATAAATAAAAACAGAATTTGTATAAGTATCATTCTATTCTAAATACTCGATAATCATCAAGACTGATATTAAACTTTATTAAACCCTAATTTAAGTTTTTGAGAATTGACCCCACCTCTTAGATGTACGCTAGTGAAATATTATATTTAACATAAAAATCCGTTTAACTAACACCGTTTAGATATAATTTTACATTTTAAGCCGTGGATATTATAAATTATTAAATTAATATAAGAATAGAATATTATTAAATGTAATACTTGAAAGTTCCACGAGTTACTTAAAACAACACAAGTAAATTCAAGTACGGAGTACCTATTGACGGTCAATGAAGTTTGCAGTGTTTTCTAGAAACGATTAAGCGCTGATAATATCAGGAGGAAAAACTCAGCAATATTCTTTGGCTTTGCACCTGAAATGTTAAATATTTTGTTCAATTAATATTATTATCATCAGATTTAAAGCGTAATTAATTTTTTTACAGATACCGCATCGAACCTACTTAGCTCTGTCTCAACTTATTCATTTTTCATTTAAATCCAATTTTATTAACATTAACACTATAGTTTACAGTAATATTACCATCGTGATCAAGTGCAGTTTTAATGGAGTCCATAACATTTAGATTGAGATTTTCTACGATCTTAATAATTTCCGGTTTCCCTATAACACCGTCTTTATTTTTGTCAAGTTTTTTGAACTCCCAGGAAATATCTCTAACTGCCTTACTAGATAATACACCAGATTCCTGAGAAATCATCAAAACAAACTATTATGCCCAGCCAAGAGTTAAAAAAATATAGGCAAAATTACGTTTTCTTTGACCTCATTATTGTAGTCTGCTAAAACTATTAACAACTCTTGTACATCCAGAGCAGCAGGTCCTTTAAATATGATATCAAATTATATAAATAGAAAAAAAATAGACGAGAATACATCATCATTCGTTGATACTTACGTTTCGATTCAAATGCCACTTGATAATTGTATATATTTGTAACTATATTTAACTTTTCGTAAATTTTTATTATTTCCTCGGACTTAATGCAGCCGTCTCCATCTAAATGATTATTATACAAATCAATGCATTTCATAACCTGTTCCACGTTTAGACCTCTACCCTAATTATAAAAATGTATACAATTAATTGTATATCATGTAAACGCTTGGTTCTAGGATTTTTTATATGCAAAGTCACTATAAAACATTATAACTAGTTATAATAAGATACAATATTTATCGTTCTTAACAATAAATAGGTATTATTATGTCGTTCTATAATACACGATCTCATTTCCTTAGTAGGTAAGCAGTTGCAATAGCTCACCAGGGGCAACATTAATTAACCTTTTTTCTTATTCGTGAAAAGTGCGTTATAAAATAAGTTCTAGGTCATATTATTTTATAGACCAATGTACCATGATCTTCATTTTCAGCATAACTAGTGATTTACGTAAAAGCATTTGCAATTCTTTAAAAACACACATATTTTTCGCGTAAAACCTATAATGTAGTTACTTAAATATATGTATTTTTATTTGAACCCAATCGTTTTCTTACTACTGGTTTATGTTTCACTATTGCCGCCAAGAACTTGGGTGCATTAATTAATTCGCCATCTAAAATTAAATATAAGTAACATTTTTTAATGTCACCAAAATAGACGTTTTTTAAAACATAATTTCACCTTTAAATTCTTTTTTTATTTTTTCCTTAATGCCAGTTTCTAGTTTTAATTGAGCGTCAATTAAGTTTCTTAACATGTGTTGGGTAAGGAGTCCTTGGGGTATTTTTTTTTTTTGGTCAGCAGTTATGAACATAATCACAAAAAGATTTACTTCTTGAGAAGTGAAGCATTTTACCTAAATAAACCAATTTAAGAGCTAATTGTCAATGAGCAAAAGTATATTAGTATATAAGTATATAAATTATAATAAAGTATATAAGTTATTATGGCAGATTAAAATTATTTATTTTCAAAAGTTATTTCTATAGTTCAACTGTTTTTTCGTCATACCTTCCAATCGTCAGTACCCTTGTCCATAACGGCCAAATCCATTAGGTAACCCGGTGCTGTTTTATCATTGATATCAACTACGTCATATACAATAAGTAAATTAAATAAGGAATATATTTACTTGACCGGAAACCCTTTTTTCACGATTTTTATTTTGTTATCTTTTAGTGTTTTTTACGCCGATTACGAACCCGTAAAAAACACTACAAGATGACAATGCAAAAAAAAAGGGTGTCCGGTAAATGTATGCCTTAAATAATATATTTACATTTCTTAAGTAAATAGATAGTTTCTTACACGACTGTATAGGTAACTTACAATGCTTAATGTGTGTAAGAATATGAATATGGTACTTAAAATAAAATAAGAGACAAATTACGACTGCATTTTCGATCATGTGCAGTTTCTGTTCTAATTAGAATACATTACTAGTATACGGAAATGTTTCATTGAAATCTGTATAGCTCAAGGACAACATTAATTGTACGCTCATTTGCCTAAAAATTTGATCTCCTCCAGCAACTTTGCTATATTTGATTTTCTTTATAGTTTCGACAAATACGTTGATTTGTTTCTCATTTAATCCAGTGCTCTGCAAAATATCGTGCAATCATAAAAATTAGGTTCTTTTATAGGTTACGTACATATCATGTCTATTAAAATAGTATTTTACTAACCTTAGCTACCGTAAAAAAATATAAAGCGCAGAGAATAACAGTAATTTTTAAATGCATATTGTTTTTTTTCAGTAATGCTTAATTTTGTGTAAAATATAAAGTCGTGAAACTGGAATCCAATAAATAATATATTATTTAAGTGTTTACTTAAATAAGATATGATGTGTGTGTTTGTTGTAAGTTATGCTTCTGTAAGTAAAACTTGCGCATATTTAGTTATTATATAAATATTTTATGTTATATATAATAATAGATGATGATTTGTTTATGCAGTATGATGCGTACTAGACAAACAAATTGTGTATTTGATTATGTGTTATATGTTTATGATATAATAATAATATAGTCAATATACGTAAAACAATGACGTTCTTGCTGTACGACTTTTTCGATAATAGTAAATAGTATAAAAAAATATAGTTGTTCTTAGGTTTTCTAAAAAATCAGGCGTTTTTTTTTTATTTTATAGCGCAAACCTGGTAAATTTTCTGGTTAAAGGACGAAAGAGTGGCATCATAGGAAATAATCTAGATAGCTACTATGTCTTCTGAAAAAGGATAGGTTGTCAAATCAAATCAAAACGAATAATAATTTTCTTGCTAAATTTTAGTTTAATATCATGTTATTATGTAGTGCAGTAATAAGTATTTTCATATCCACGGTTTGCATGAACATTTGCCAATTCAAGTAATTTAAAGGAAACTCTAGTCAAAAGAATCAATACACGTTTTTCTACGTGAAAACAATACTTAAAAATCGAGAATTACATAATGACCAATATTTTTAATTGTTTCCCAAACCAACTACCCATGGGGGCCTATTATACATTATTGAAATCACACGAACATTATTCGTGTACTAACGATTTGACTGATATTTTTTCGTCATCATATTAACAACAGTAGGTATTTGGAATGTTCTTCGACTCGCGGTATTTAATTAATAGTCTGTGCGCAAATACCATTCGAGTAGGAAATATAATTTTATGTTGGCATTTTCCGAAATACCACGGAGTATAGTAATGACTAATGAGTATAGACTCTCGGCATCTCCACGTTGAATGGAACTGTTATGTCACAAAAATATACAATAAAACATAATATAAAGAATTATAATGTATTATATTATACAATACAAGGTGATAATTTTATAGTAAACCACTCAATATCTCATAGGGTTTAATAATAAGAAATTCTATCTAATCTAATTTTTTTGGGGTTTTTCTCCTCCTACAAAACGAATTATTTTTATATTAACTTTTAAAACTTAAATAGTAATGTATATATTTTATTACCTTTTTAAATAAAGAATATTTTATTAAAAATGTTGACTGGTTGATCACTAGTTTTCAATAGTTATTTTTAAAGTTATAAGATAGTTTAAAAGTTAGGAAGGGTGGGGAAGTGCGGTTGGGAAGTGAACGCAGATAAAAATAATACTATACGCTCTACCTTTCCTCCTACCATTGACTTGAATCCTCAATGACTTCAAGAATAGTAATTCAAAACTAATATAATGTATGCGTTACCATTTGAGTTTCAAAAGTTATTATAATAATAATTATTGCTATTAGGTATATCTGAACCAAAAAGATCTAAAAGCCAATCTGTGACAACAGCTCAAAAATTATGTTTAATCGATTTTAGAGCAGTCATCGAGATTTAGTAGAAGGTAAATTTTCATCGACTTTTACTTTTAAATCAGCCCAATCGTTATGGAATTAATTTATAGTAAATACGGTATAAATTTACTTTACCGGACACTTCGTTTTTGTGATTTTTTTTTTTGTCATATTTTAGTGTTTTTTACGCCGATTACGAATCTGAAGTCATTTCTAGGCGGACTTCTTTCTTCGACGAATATACGGTGCAGCACGGCGGCGGGCCGTTTAGGTTACCTATAGGTAATAATACTCGTAATAAAAATAAAAAACAATAACGAATGTTAAATTGTAATATGTACTTGTTATAGACGTGGAAAGATTTAAAAAGTAACACGAAAAAGAGATGTGTCGCTGTTAAAAGAGGACTCGGGAAAACTGGTGGAAGAGAGAACGAAGAACATCGTCTAAGTGAAATTGAAGAGAAAGTTATGAGACTAATTGGTGAATACCCATTTCTGGGCATCCATTAGTGTCTGAACCTGGAACCAGCATCGCTCTTACTGGTTTCAACAGCAACGACGATGACAATGAAAATGTTATGTATATTATGTATAAAATATTATGCGTATATTAGGTAAAGGGATTGGAAGCAGGCGATTTTAAAGGAGTTTTATAAAGGCATTATTTTAGTTTATATACATTTTTTTTTAATGAGTAAAAGCAATTTTGATTTATTTTGAAGTAAACACGCTGGACAAAAATTTGACTATTTAAGGTGGTCCGATTTGAATTTTGTAAATAGGTTCCAGTTCTTTAACTACTTTACTGGTTGATGTAGAAAACCGATTATCATTTTAAAAAATTACGTTTTTTAATATTAAAAAAATACAATTTGAAAAAAATTGTTTTATTTAGAATTGAGTGATATACAGTCTACATACGAGTTTATATTGTATACGTACAGAGTATAATATAGTATATTTTTACGGTATGGTATAACATAATAAAATCTTTAGTTGTTATAATTCATTTGGTAAGGTGTTATAAGCTTTTTTAAACCTTTAAATACTTGCGCCACTATTATTTTGTTAATTATACTTTGTTCAATTCTAATAGAATGACGAAACCTACTAAAAATGTAAGCACTTCTTACTTGTCAACTGGTCTTGAGATAGTACACCTTTTGTGGACGAAATAAAAAGGTTAAACGTTATTATTTTGCACACGATAAATAGTCACTACTACACGACCTCGGTAGAGAAACACAAAGGGTTGTATGTGTTATGTGTTTACGTCCTACCTATAATACAGGTTTCTAATTGTAAGTTTTTACAGCATCTATGCTTTCTTTTTGCGGGTATAATAACACTAATTCGTGTTCTATTATGACATTATAGTGATTGCATTATTTTAATGTAACGGAAAAAATATTATTTTAGTTAAATACGTTATAATTCAAATTTAAAATAATAATAAACATAGCTACATAAGATAGTTAATTGTTAAAAAGCTATACAATTCGTATTTTTTGCAGTCATCTCTAGAGTCTATAAGTCTTGGAAGTGGTCTAAATAACAGATTAATCCTTCTTTTTGGTATAATCTTCTATTTGAATATTATTGACAAATTTAAATGTATTAATAAACAATAATAATAAAAAAATAACCTAAGGAAAAACTTAAATAACCTGAACAACCTTCCCCCATGTCAATTCTTTTTCATCAATAATAATTACTCATAAATAAAACCAAAAAAAAAAAATAATTTGCAAATCACAATATATAGGGAAAAAATACCCGTATATAATTTTTTTAAAACTACAATTGCATTATTTTTTTAGAGGTTGTATCTTTCTTGAAAAAAGAATTAGTTATAAAAATCTACATTTACTCTTATTAGACATGGTATATTCAGTGCCAAATCCGTAGCGTATTTGAAATTCTTGATTTTTTAAAAATTGTTTTTTACTAATAAGGTGATTTTTAAATATTATTTCTCAAGACGTTCAGAGGTTTAATTTGTTTTCAAATTTTCGATAGTCCTTTTTTAATTGCGTATATCTAACTGATAAATAAGCAACAACGAAAAAACAAGGTGGATAAAATGTTCAATTATTAGTGCATAATTTCGTTTAAAAACTTTAAAAATATATTTGACCCTGTCGTTCATCTTAAGAATAGACAGACAGAGTTCGCCATTTATATCATAATTTTAAGTTAAAATATTTTTTTTATAATACAATCTTAGGTTTTTTAAGCTTTGCTACTCTGTAAAATTGAATAGTCAAAAGTATATCTATAAAATTGTGGAAAATGTCAACGATTTCATAACAAAAACACAATTCAACTTTTAAAATAAAAAGCTGTCAAATTTCTTTTAAAGAAATTGTAACTGAAAATGCATACCAAAACGATCATGTTAACCGTATTTTTTTACTACTATTTTATAGAACATTTTTTAATGTTATATTGACATATTTTGTTTGTACTTCATTTTTTAACGACACTTTCCCTATTTAAATAGCGCCAGTGAGAGGTTAGAGTCTGTTCTATGAATCTTAGTATGCAATAATAATACAAAATACCTCTATTACGTCTTGTCATATACATGTTCATTGTTCACACAAATAATTTCGTTATTTTTAATAGAAATTATACCCATTTTGGCGTCGAAGAAAAAAACAACTCATACTGTAAATTATTTTAAATTATAATATTATTAAATTTAATTACAAATAAAATTGTATTTAAATTTTATTAAAGAACTATTTAAGACAGGCGTTAAAAAAAAGAGAAACACATTGTAAAACGGTTATTGTTTTTTGTATGGCCAGTGTATGAAATTTTAATAAATTTCTGTATTTTATTTTTAAAGTATTTATATCTTAATATATTTGATAAAAACCCTAATGTTTGTTCGGTAATATTCAGAGATTCATAAATAAGAATATATAATTACTACTGATCCAGCTATGAATGTATTTAGAAGAATTATACAATTTTAAAACAGGCGTTGCTTACAAATTTAATAGTATTTTATTATAATTAGAAAATTATTATAAATTAGAATTCTACTTCGCTGTTGTTAGTTTTGGAAATTTTTAACTTTTGCAACCTTTGAATAGTTTCTTCAATACTAAATTCTCCATGAACATTGTTATCTCTAGTACGGACATTTACTGTATTAGCTGTCCTCTCTTTATCTCCAACCACTAAAATAGATAATAAATAGATATAATAAATTTGAAGTACAAAATGTTTAAAAACGTAAAATTTACTTATAGTATTTTATATCATACCAAGAATAAAATTGTACTGAGCCAATTGTGCATTACGGATTTTCTTGTTTAATGTGTCACCATGATCAACATCTACGTCGCACATAAAACCGGACTCATAAATTTCTTTTTTTACCTAAACATCAGTTATGAAAAACATTTTATAATAAATGTTACTTAATATAATCATATCAACATACTTTTTCTGCATACTCGTCAAATTGTGGTCCAACTGGTATAACAACGAGCTGTCGAGGAGACAGCCAGAATGGCCATTTACCAGCAAAAGATTCAGTTAAAATAGCAATCATTCTTTCAACAGAGCCAAATATAGCCCGATGTATAATTACAGGACGAATTTTTTCTCCGGTTTCACTTGAAACATTAAAAAAAGATTAAACGGTAGGATTTAGATTTCATTGTACGTCCCCATATTTAAATATATTGTTCTCTGGTGTTCTTTTGCAGCTGTTACCAAAATGATCGAACATGTGCAAAGGAAATGTTTTATCTAGTCTATTGCATTTACAAATAACACCTCTTGTCTTCCTCATGATAACAGTTTTGTCTGTTTTGTTTACGCATGTTTTATATCCTTAGCCCATCGTAGATACTAGCCAAAAATCCTTTCTTTCAAACCTTCTCGACAATAATATCGATTTTCATCGAATTATTACTCAAATTCTTTTATGATTCGTTTATTACGGGTCGCTAATAAGCCCCACCTTCTTTTCTTTTGGCCCTGAATAGCCTAGTTATAATGTTTCATTCATTATATTGTTTAGTAATTAAGTTTAAAATTATGTATTAATTCTTTCTGTACTTGACCTGGCCCTGTATCATAAATAAAATGAACGATTCAAGACTCAAGTATTAATAACAAGTCTAGGTTTGTAGGATAAAAGTTTATTATAATTGTATAAAGGATCTGTTTATTCCCTCCAATCATTGAGTCTCATAGCTATATTTTTCAAAGCTCCTTTAGAAATGAATAGTATTTTAAACTATTCAACAAAAATGTTTAGTTTAAGTTTCAACTACTAACTATGGTAGTTTATATTTTATAACAATATTATTGTTATATTGCTATTGTCTAATTGTTGAGCTACAGATTACATATTTTTGTTTTAATAAAAGCTAGTTAAAAAAAACTATAGTAGTTCTTGAATAGAGATTAAAAAAAATAATCTGTACCTCAGGTATTTTACCTGATCGATTGCACTTTTTAGATGTATTTGGTCAAAAAATTAGTTTATCGGAAATCAATTTATGGAATAATAAATCGGAAAACAATTATTCAATTATGAACGGGTAACAATTTATTAAATAATGGATTTTAACAATGGATTTATGATAGTAGTATGATTAATTTTTCTATTATTTGTGAAAAGCTAATATTTTTTATAATAATAGTCAGATATTAACATATCAGGTAGTACCAAATATAAAAACTAGGTAACCGACAATCGTAATCAGTAATTCATTTTACTAAAATTATTGGATTAGTAGTCTCAATAACTTTTTCTAAACTCACAAAGAAATGAATCGTTTAATTTATAAGAATTTCTATTAATCACTTTAAAAAATACATCAGTTTAAAAATCACTTACCCAATATATGATAAGTTGAAACGAATAGGAAGTTGGAAATCTAGCTGAATAGTAGCACATTGGTGTTGCCGTTTTAGTGCATCAGAAATAGTGATATCAATTTTAGGACCATAGAATGCTCCATCTCCAGGGTTTAATTTCCATGGTTCACCAAATGAGTTTAAGCTGTCTTCGAGTTGCTAAATAAAATTAAAATAATAAATAAATTGTGTTACACTAATAAAAAATACAATAACAAAAACAATCTCACATACTTTTTCGGCATTATTCCACATTTCTAGTTCTCCCAAATACTTTTCTGGTCTCGTAGACAAACGCAAATTGAATGAAAATCCAAACACGGTGTAAACATGTCGTAAGAAATCTAGGGCGCTTACAATTTCTTGACCAATCTAATAACAAGTATTAAATAATAATAATAATAATAATAAGATCAGTCAACTATCTTAAATCTATTAAAAGTTTGAACTATATACCTGATCTTTAGTACAGAATATGTGGGCGTCATCTTGTTGAAAACGCCTTACTCGAGTTAATCCAGTCAAAGCTCCCGATAACTCATTTCGATGCAGAACACCAAAATCGGCCATTCTAAGCGGGAGTTCCCTCCACGATCGGTTACGGTGGTCGAACATCAAACTGAAACACAATAAAAGCTGTTACATAACAAAAAAAAATATATATCCAATAAAAAGTAAGTCATATTTATCATATAGCTGAAATACATACCAATGACCAGGGCAATTCATTGGTTTCAGTGCATATGTCTCTTTTTCAACGTCAAATGAAAACATATTTTCCTATTTGTACAAATTTCAAATAACAGTAATAACGTACACAAAATAATAATTATTAAAAATAAAATATACCAAAAATTGTAGTAAATATACTTACAGCATAATGTGCCCAATGGCCAGATGTTTGCCACAATTTAACATTGTAAATATTAGGCGAAACTACTTCTTGGAATCCACGCTTACGGTATTCACTTTTGATAAATTCAACCAAAGTATTGTAAATATATGCGCCTTTTGGTTGAAAGAAACATGAACCGGGACTTAGTTCGTGGAAGAAAAATAACTCTTGTTCCTAACATAATGCATTGCAAATATTTAAAGGTTAATTGTTGACACTTTTTTCAGGAAATAAATTTATGAATGCATGGATTGTACAATTAGTCTGATAAATTTCAGATCTAACTATTTTGTCATTAGTTAGCTAACGTTTTGAACACATTGTCTATCACAAAAGTAATAGTAACCGTTCAACTGTTGCAAGAATTCTGTAGTGTGACTGCAATGGGTTCGGAACGTCAGATAAGTAGTAACAACATGGATAGATCCGAAAATGATCAAACCAAAAAATATTTAACAACTGATAAATTATTTTTTATCAAACTATTGCAATAATTAGATGTTTTTGTGTTTAAGAAATTTTACAGAAGTGCTAAAAACTTTTTTCAATAATTTTATTTTATTCAAACAATTGTAAATGATCTATTAAACTTTTGTTTGATGTAATAAATCGATAAATACACTAAATAAATTGTAGTTATAAAAAATTATAGTTGTTTATTTAGGCTTTGATACTAAGCTGAAAAGATATTGTTTTTTCAATAACGTGTTTTTATTTATTTTATTTTAGAAAAAACTGTTAAGCAAACTTATGGTTAAATACATATATAGTAAAGATATAAAATCTACTTGAACCCTAAACCATAAAAATTATACACTTCTTGCGCATGAAGTGTATAATACACATTATACACGCAAGAAGTGTATAATTTTTATGGTTTAGGGTTCAAGTAGATTTTATATCTTTAATATTTATTTTATTTGGTTTTTATTATTGTGTACAAACCGATTTCTTCATGTAGCAACTTTATAGACCATTTTCTCTTCAAAATTGAGTAAAATACCCAAAAATAAGAATATATTTCAACTTAAATTTACAAAGCTTTAAAACTTTTTTTAAAAAGTTCCAAATTTGTAGGATTATTCTTTAGATAAAGTACTATCTATAGACACTAGCAAACCAAAAAAAATCTAGAAACCCATTCCCCTAGGAGAAGTGGAAACTTTTGTTTATTTCTTTTAGAACTTAAGGTCAGAGAATAAGACTGAAGGTAGATCTAGAGTATGGCAATAACATACAATTCTTTTAAAATTCTGTAGTCTATCTTTTTTTTTAAAGGAAAACCTAAAGTTGTAAATTGTAATTAACAATTTTGTTAATAAAACCGTATGAGTTACAATTTATATTAATAACAGATGATTAACCCTAATCTTATACATTCTAATAGTAATAAAATAATTTTAACTTTTAAGCACAGTTTTTACAATGTTTTTATCTTTTTTTGTATTTATACCATATCAAATTTGTATCAGTGTTCAGTTGAAAGTGATTTTATCACACCACAATTTTTTTTTTTTTTGTGTTCATGTCGGTAAATTTAGTTTCAATTTATGTCCCATGGATTATTAACTGCTATTAAAATTGGTGCCTAGGTCAAATAAAATTGCTTAAGTTATAGATTTATATGCTATGTTGGGTGAAAATCGCCGGTTAAAATAAATAAAACCAGACATTTAAAACCAGGTTTGTGTCAAAAGTATCGCTAGCCTTCTATTTTCTTTCGACCATTGATATAATTACTAATTGATACTTAATTAAAAAAAGAAAACTAACTCTTCCGATTTTACGATGATCCCTTTTTGCAGCTTCCTCTTGGAACTTTTCCCATTCTTTCATTAGCTTGTTATCAGGATATGAAATTCCATAAATGCGTTGTAACGTTTCAGCTTTGCAATCTCCTTCCCAGTATGTAGAAGAATTCTAAAATAAGTATTTATATTACACTACGTACAAATAAAAAAACAATATTATTTTATAATTTGAATTAGATGAGGTGATTAAAATTTGTAATTTAATTGTATTAATTATAAATGTATATATAATAATATATATGTATATATAATAATTGTAATAATATAATTTGTAATAATTTTCAATTATTTCATAGAAAAATTACTGTATACAACATTGTGAATAACACAGTATAATAGGTAACTTTTTCTACACAAAATGTAAACTAAAAATTAATAATAAGTGCTAAAATAAAATATTTTTTTCATAAAACCACATAAATAAGAATAGGATTATAATTTTTCATATGTAAAAATAAAAAAATGACGCAATTATGATCACATTTAACAAATTAAAATAAATGGCAAATGATCAACTGACTTGAAGAAAAAATATAAGCCGAATACGAGTTGACACATATAAGAGATAAGTTGAAAATGATTTACTGATTTACCTTGATCACTTTAAATGCTTTAACTTTTCCAGTATGGCGTACGTGTGGTCCTCTGCATAAATCGATCAGAGGTCCACATCGATACACAGTAGTTGTTGGAGTTTTTACTTTTTCTTTTAGTATTCTTACTTTAAATTCGTTATACTAAAAAAGATAAAAACAATAACAAAAATGATAGACCATCTTTTACAAAATCACAGCAATATAATTACCTTGAACATTTCTAAAAGATCTTCCTTGCTTACTTCAAGTCTTTCAAATGGTTGTTTATCTTTCAAAATAGTTTTTACTAAGCCTTCAACAATAGGAAAATCAAAATTTGACACCTAAAAAAAAAAATGTACTGTGAGAAAAAAATTTATAAAAACTTTAGAATAAGTACTTGTTTGTTGTCTAAAAACATATCGTAGTAAAAGCCTTCTTCAATAGGTGGTCCATAGCATAGACAACCACCATAAATTCTTTCCATTGCTTCACCCAAGACGTGTGCTGATGAATGCCAAAACACTTGCTGAGCTTCGTCGTCTCCAAATTTAAGTAAATGCAGAGTGCAATCTTTCTCCAAAGGTCTATCCAAATCCCACAGTTCTCCATTTACCTTGGCAATAATCGTGTTATCGGCAAGTCCTTGACTACAAAGTTATTAAGTAACATAATTAGAATAGACGGTAGTTTATTAATAATAATATTTTATACAAACCTAATGCCTTTAGCTACTTCATATGGTGTTGATTGCCATGCCTTAGCGTCAACCGTTTTTCCATCAGGAAATGTTACAGTTATAGGTTCTCTAGGTTTGCTAGCAAGTTCATTAGTATACTGCTCTTTAAGTTTGTCCCATAATTTTAAACGTTCCTGTCAAATAAAACAAGTATATAACACTGGATAAAAGTTAAAATAACTCAATTCATTTCATGTGGATAACATTTTTTTGTCAAGAGTAATTTTAGTGACACAGAAACATCTTCCACATCTATTTACACTGATGATAAACATTTTATAACATTTGAAGCAGTGGTAAACTAGAGACTAAAGCACATATATTACATGTTAACGAGTATAGTAAACTGTACAAAATCGCCTTAAATTAGATTGCGCTCTGGGGAAGCTGTCCCCTCCCTCTGAACCCACAATAGCTACGCTACTAATTTAAAATCACAACATAAAAAACTATTTAAACAGAACAAAAAAGCTAACAGCTGGTAATTCCCCACATTCAACAAATATTTTGACAGTGTGAATACGCCTTAAGCCAATCTTTCAAGTCGGTGATGTCTGTCAGATGAGTCATTAATTTTCACAAAATGATGATTTATATTTAATTATCTTTTATCTGCCTCAATGCATTTTTTTTTTTTAATAAAACAAAATATTCCATTTTTTTTTTTGTTGACAGAATTTTTATTATATACAACATATTTGTAATTTTAAAAAAAAAGTATATAGATTTTAAATTTTGTACCTCAATATAGGCTGGCCAAGGTTTCATTTCTGAAACCTGAGACTGTTTTCCTTCTTTTTGCGCCATTTTTTTCTTACTTGGTTTCTAAAATATATAAAAAAAAGACTCATTTAAATCAGAAAAATTATGGTGTTCCATATAACATTTTAAGTATAATAATTAAAGAAAATCCTTACTTGATATAAAGGTAGTCTAATTCCACGTACTGAATGTATGCCGAAGGTTATGGAACAATAAGTGTTTAACAGTAATTTTGAACGCATTAATTTCCTATGAAAAAAAAAAATAACAGCTATAAAATATTATTTTCAAATTATAATATTTATTAATATATAAACAATTATAATGGTTCATAACGGGTAGTATATTATTAATATTGTAAAACTAACTTACAGTTTTTTAGTAATAGAAATTAAAAAAAAGTTAGATTTAGTTTTTAAAAAGTTATTAAATTGTTAAGTTTTTGCAAGCAGATACATTTTATAACCTTATACTATAACTATTACTTGTCAAAATGAAGATATTTTTCAATCATTGTTCGATATATTTTAAAATAAATGTCCTCTAAAAAATCAAAAATTATTCAGGTTGAAGTTAGTGAAACAAAACTACTGAAAATGTATAAATTGATCTAGTCAAAAAAGAAAAATATAATACAATAATAGAAAGTTATGTAGGACTGAGGGTATGGACCAAGACCTAATGAAAATGGGGAGCTAGAAAAAAAAATTCACTTCAAATACATATAAACAATAGTTATAGAATTAAAGTTTACACAGTAAAAAAAAAAATATATATATAAATAAACATAAAAATATAGGTACTTTTAAGAATACAAGGGAGGGACTTCAGCCCCCACAGGCCTCCTCCTCTTGCATCCTCTGCTAGGTACCGAGCATAGTAGGGTGGAAGCAATCATAGGTCTGATTAGCTATTTAAATTAAAAGTGATTAAGTTGTTCTATAATAAAAAAAAAATGCTTCTACAAATAAACATCTCTAAATACAACGCCTCTAAAAATCTATAGAATATAATAAAATTAAAAGTAAATTTGTTCTAAAATATTATGCATCCAAAAAATCAATATGAATGCAATATTGTATTTATAATGATGTTATTAATTGTTTAGAAGTTTCCTCAAAAGTGGTTCAAACAAGAATAACAAAATACAAAACTATCGATAGATTTTTAAAAACTTTTTTGAAAGATACAAGAAAGCATTCCCCGAGAAAATGTCTAGGGTAAAGGATGACATAGTAAAAGTATGCCAGGAAAAGATTAGAAGGAATTATCATTAGAAAGAAGAAACTTGAGGCAAATATGTTAGACAACGTGGTCTTGAAGTCTAAAGCCACAAAAGTAAATTATTTTAAAAAGACTGATTTTTAAATTTCAGATTTGGCACAAATTTAGTTTCAGATTGGCCGATTTTAATTGTAAATGAAGTGATGGTTTCGTAGCCATTCAAAGTATTGTTACGTGGTAAATTAACCCGTGCGGCATGCTGAATAATAGCTAATCCAAAATCAGAAATGAAATTCACTCAGCAATTAAAGCACATACATATACACCATTTAAATTCAGTTAATATTACAATATAATATAGTCACAAACGTTGTTAACACATTACTTAAAAGTTTAGCTAGACTATACAGTAACAGGTTTTTGTATAGGTGCCTAAGCTGAGAGTTATTCTAGAATGTCCATTAAAAAATTAATTCATAATTTATTTATTAAACGTCCAATGTAAACCTTACCGATTGAATGAAGAGAATAATAAATATCTTCACTTACCAACAAATTCAGAATGATGCAATTACAGGTTTGAGGTTTTGACTATGCCGCATTGCTTTATCAATCAACGTGTACACAAATCACAATACCGTAATTAACAGTCTCTATTCTTATCAGTAAGTAGTTATCATTTTTTATGTGAAGGCTCCAGATAAAGTGGAGGTTATGTTTAAGTTGCCTATAGTTGAAAACACGGTTAGGTTAGCTGTGTTTTAGATTGTCCGTGATAATTATTAGAGTGCCTTGATAAATAAGAAAGTTTACAACTACTTCGAAAATGACCATGTTTGGTCCGAAAAATTCCCGCCTTTTGAATTGTAATAAACTAAACAATTATTTTTACCTGATTTACAAGAAATGTAGAGATGAGAAGGTAGAGAAATGCGCGCAAATAAAAAAGCTCTACTCGCTTAGCCAATGTAACTATATTATAAATTATTGAATGTATTTTTCCTGTCTAGATTATATCAATATTAATGTATTTATATGTGATGTTACTATTTCTCTCTGCATAATATTTGTTAATTTTAGGGAAGTTTAGGTTTATGATAGGGGTTGGTCCAAACCAAACCAAACCTAAATTTACCATCTCTTCTTTTTAATTAAATTTTAGTTTAGAATTATTTTATAATACAGTACAATAATTAGGAATTTGAATTGGCGTTCAATTATTTTTAAAAGATTACTAAAGCGCTCATAATAATGTTAGTTACGCATAAACTGTTTTACTGGGTTCATATTTTGTTCATAATGGTTTTAAACTTTAGAGCATAAAAATCCATTATCATTTAATCAATGCCAAAGAATATAATATTTTCGCATGTTGTTGAATTAAAATTTTTTTAATATTTTATTCATAAACATCGGTAATTATTTTTTTAAATATGCTGTAATCTAGGATAAGCGAAATACAGTACATTTTCAACTATAAATACAAAATTCAAAATACTATTACTTATACATTTGTACCCTTAAATTCTTTACTATAAAAACCTTCCCCCCTCCGACTAATTATAAGCTGATATTAAAAAAATTACCAGATTTTGTTTTAGTGACATGGTGTACATATTATTTGATGAATTTGCATGCATTTTTAAAAACACCCCCTCCCCTTTATTCAGATTTGGATTAAGAATTTTAAAACGTTTTTAACTAAATTTTAGAATAAAGTTAATAATAATTTGTCTCCGTATTTTTTATTTAGTATAATAGTTGGGAAAGATAGATGTTGTTTTCAGCCTTTGCCCTTTTCTATCCAAGTACAAAAATTATATTGAGACGTCTACTAGTTTTTTTTCTATCACGCCTCGACTTTTCCTATGGTTTTAAGGTCTAGGGACGCCCTTGGTCTGGCGGCGAAACGGCTTGTGGCGTTATTTTCGGATCCGGTCGGCAAGTTAAAAATTAAAATATAATAATATTTTTTACTTGGTGACTAATATTTCTGGGGGAGGAGGATTGGAAGGCAGAAATTCCTAAAGGGTGACTAGTTTGCTATGACATACACCGAAAAAATGAGATCAAAATTCGTGATTAAAAAATGTTGTTTTTGTAGGTAACGTAGTTTACTCACGCAGCATACCTGCTTGTGGGTTATTTTACAAAAGCATTAGGACAATATAAAACAAGATATTTTTTTTCTCATAAACTATTAATATTTTTGTGAATGGTTAGCCAATAATGGATAGCCATAAAATATATACTAGACAAATTCTAAAGGCGTCTACCAACATGAACACTGACGTCTATAAACTATAAAACAAATTATTGTCCAGTTGTCGAACAGCCAAAGAGAATCCTACACGTACCTACTCTTATTATTTTCCGCATATTTACCATGTAGTATGCAGGTAAGTACATAATACTCAATAGCATAGCAAGGGTTTGTAGTACAACAAAATTCAAAGACCACAATATCCCAATTATTACAAATGCATCCTTCAAACATATGAAATACATGTTATTGATGCGGACCCGACAGGCTGAAGTTTGAACTATTACAATTTATGACCATTGCCCTATTCAGTTATTGAGTTGTTACATTTTTAATGGAAAATAAATTGTCTAGAACTACCAACTACATGTCATTACAACGATTATTTGTACTGCTTGTGTAAAAGTCGCAAAAAAATATATTTTTGATAAATAACTAAAATGAGATTATATTTTTGAAAATATAAAAATTAATTTTAAAAATAAAAATAAATAGTGAATGTGAGACCGGGTCCCGTGAGTTCCACTAAACTCGACCCTGAAAAAGGGGAAGTGAGTAAAAAACAAAATAGGTATAATATGTTATGGTCTGTGATAATAGGTGTTGGCTCTTTTATTAATTAATGTTCTCCACTAACGCAATGATAATTTTATAAAAAAATATATAAAAGAGAAATACAATATAATTTGTCATGACGGTGCGATTAGGGGAGGCGCGATTCCACAGTCGCGTTGAAAGCCAAACGGGCCAAGAGCAGACGGCAGTCGCCGGTTGGTCACTCAAGTGGACCGACATTCTACCCTGACCGGCACGAGTAGGGGTAATATTTTTCGTCCGCCTGTTGTCGTGTTAGGACTTCGGAAACGGCAGGACCGCGTCATTTTTTATGCTAGTTTATTTTTGTCGATGATTATTGTAATTTTTTCTTTTCTATATCAATATATCATGCTGTATGAAATTCTTCGCATAGACTATTTAAATTTTAGTTTTTCTAGATTAAGTAAATAATAGTACTAAATGTAGTAGTAATACTATATGTGCTGTTGTTTACAGGTAGTGTAAATCTTGGTTGTTACAACATCTACAATTCTCTTAGATTAAATATTACAAATTTAAGACAAAAAAGGTATTTGTCTCTGATCTCCATTATTTTACGCTACAATGACATATTTATATTTTAGAATCATAACAGCCAACAGGTAAACGTAAAAGTAAAATAACATTATCGATAATTGTGGGTAATCACTAATCATATTTTGTAAACGATATTTAAATTCTATACAATAATAACAGTAAATATAGATACAGATAACAGATTACATTATTATAACGTGTTTAAACTTGTTATTTAAATTCAATCCATCCACGATTTCCTATTATAGCTGTTTTTTTTATAATGTACATGTTATAAAGATTGAATAATTTTCAATAAATTCCTATGTAATCAACGATATTTCATATCATATAGATGTGAAACAAGTATTTTTTTACATTGTCATCTTATTCACTTATTAGCTCACCATTAGACGCAACATTCATTAATCATTGAACAATGTCTTCACAAATTAATCTTTACAAATGTATGGTGTGTACCTTCACATTGAAGAAGCACATTCACTCTGCTATGCTATATAATATTCAACTAAAATCTTGACGTACTCAATATTATATTATACCTTGTACCATTGATTTTAAAATATATAATAAAATTAATGCTTCTACCTATTAGCTATTTATTGTTCAATTTTGTATGTGTTTGTAATCACACTGCACGTATTATTAATGTATATACAAAGGAGGAAGTTTTTGAAATTATAAAAATGAAACAATTTAATCGTAAACGCTCACAGTGATTATCTACCTAATTATTTTGTTATTAAATAAACTATAAAGTATGAACGATAAAAATAATTATTACCTACCGTTTGTATGGATTCGCGGGTTTGCGTGCCAGTGCACATGTGTTTGGAACCCCTGGTCACCCGCAATATACGCTAGTAGAAATTGATTCTAAAAATGCTGCTACGTTCAAGTCAGTCGATTTCAATTAGTGCAGTTTAAAGTTTCACATTTCTATTAACACTGCCGCTGTTGGTTGGAGTGATAATTTTTAGTTTTATGTGTAACCTCTAGTTTTTATTCTAATGCGGTTTTCCGGTTGCAATTTTCAAATTGAAACAAAAATAAATTAAACTAACAGCCTGGGTGAGGCTCACAAACGAACACTAAACATATAGTTACACCTGATTAACTGCATTTCATTCTCGAGCCATATACGAACAAAATCATCTTCTATTAACGGTATGGCCAATGCTGCCAAGAAGCAAGATGAACACAACTTATCGGTGCTCCGCGAACAATTATCGTTACCAGCCAACAAATATTGCTTCGACTGCCACCAAAGAGGCCCAACGTATGTTAATGTTACCATTGGTTCGTTCGTATGCACATCATGCTCAGGATTATTGTAAGTCAATTTTTTGCGTCCACAATGATTTTATTTAGTCAATTAAGTTTATTATTATGTATAGAAATAATATACATATATTTACTAAATTAGTTCAATAATTACACTTTTTACAAACAATTGTCTTTTTAAAAAAAGCCTAGGTATAATTAAAAGTATAAATATTAGGTATATCATATGTTAACAGAACTTGATATAGATATTTTGAAGACTTAACAATATATAAATTAATATGAAACATATGACCGCTGTTTCCTGCTAGTTAAAATATTCAGTAGCTCTAATTATAAATGTTTAGTCTACCCACCTAAAGTTTCTAAAATTAAGTGGCCTTAATTTCTATTTAATTTTTTTCTTACTATGGATTCAAGAGCTATAACTATTTATCTAAATTGTACTATTATTTCATTAATAAATGTTAGATAAATTGTTAACACTGCCTAGGTTAATATAGTGTAGGTTTAATTCAGCCTACGACCACAATTTGGTTTTTTAATCTATTATTTATTTTCTTTGAGAATTTAATATGGCATATAGAAACAACATTAATTATAATTTAATATTGTAATATTTTTTGTATAATTATTATATGAATAATATTTTAGTATAAGAAAAAACATAATATTGCAAATAAATAATAGCCAGAATATATTACAATCACTTAACTTATGTGGGCACTTTAATGTCTTAATTTTCCATGTTTAAATTTAGAAAATACCTGACCTATAACAGTGTAGTTGTAAATTGTATCACTCTAACCTATAGAATCTTAACTATATGTTTATTATTTATATTAACAAAAGTAATGATAATAATTTACAATAGTAATACGCTGAACTACCTGTTATTAAATATGAACTTGCATGGGTAGTTAGCTATTGGGCTTTTAATATATTTATCAGTTGAGATTATTATTATAGAAACAATTGTATGTTCTGTGTATAATTTATAAAAATTGCTGTAATTTAAAAATCAAATTGTATTATCAGAATTTGAATAATTGAACATAAAAAGATAATAGATAAAAAATATAAAAACATAAATATTATATTTAATTTATTTAAAAGTTTTTTTTATAAGAACATAATATAATATATTATACACAATTTTTGCTTTTAAACTATTTAATCTATTTCATTATTGCATAGATAAAATATAATATAAACAGACAGTGAGAAAATATATATCTATATTATATTACATTACGTGTCGGTTTTTTTTTATTAAATAATAATTTTACGACTAAACTTTAGAAGCGTAGGTGTGTTGCCTATCTATTGTCAAAAATGTAATAAAATCCTACTACACTAGTATAAATAATATTAAAAAAAATCATAGTAAGAAGATTCCAAAATTTGGGATGTGAATAATTTTGGTAGATACAAATCAATTTCAAGGGATTTTATTAAACTGTCTTGGTGAAGTAAAATAATTTACGATTATTCATTTGCTCAAAAAAATTCTTCACAAATGACTTTTTTGAGAGTACATTCAATGTGTTTTATGAAAATTCTTTTTATCAGAGAATTATTTTTAATTGTGACATATTTTGTTGTTAGCAAAACCTACAATTATCTTCCCTTTGACGTTTCACCACTGATAACTGCCGATTGTGAATGACTCATTTATCAGTTAACTAAGACTATCTATCCCTGTCTAATGTTTGCAGAATATTTAATCTCCAATTGGGATAGTAATTTTACAATAAATTAAAGACGAAAAAAGTTATTAAAAATTTAACTATAAATTTATTTAACATCAAATCTGTAATATATATATTTTTTTATCCATGAAAATATCATAATAGATTACCAAACTGAATTAAAAAAAAAAAAAAAAATGTGTTCAATTACTAGTAATTTATAATATTAATATATTTTATCTCCATGGGAGTAATCCTGATGCCCAATAACATGGTAAATTAAGTCTATGGTGTTGACTGACTAATCGGCAATCAATCAGTTAGTGTTGAATCGCATATTCACAATTGTATTTGTTTGGATTTTTATGAAAAATAAATTGTATATAATATACGTATAGTGCTTAGCAAATTTGTTTATACTATTTTTTTTTTGTTTATAAAAGAATAAGTACAATGGTTTTATGCTAATTATAATCTTTTTACTGCTGAGATTTTACTTTTATTACCTCTTCCCAAAAAAAAAAGTTTTCGTTCCTTACATTTTGAAAATGCTGGTTTGTACTTAACCATTAAATATCTCGTTATAAATAATTTTAACTATCTATTGGTAATATATGTAGTTCTTAGGTTTTTCTTAATGTTAAATATGTATAACACAAAACGTGTTCGTATCTTCTCGAGGATTTTAATAAAAATAAAATACAAATTGCATTTCGACCAAGAAGTAATAACGCGTTTTGAAAAACCATTGTCTTGTTTATACTGTTCTGTTCTGATGCGTACGCGTCTAGTCCTCATGTCAAATGCACGTTTGATGTGTTACATTGTTTTTTTAAGTTCATTGTACTGTCACTAGTACTTATGCTTGTGTACGACAATAATTCAGAATTATTCTCGTTCGTAGGTAAAACGATTCACCAAGTATAAGAGAAAAGAGCGCGTTTGCGTTTATATTCAGTCCATCTATAAACATGCACGGTTTTTATTTTTTTTCTGTTTTTTGTTTTGTTTCAACGTAAAATAATTACGTACTATGAAGTGGTCTTGAAGTAAACATAGATAAAATTCAATAAAATTGTGGCCATATTCCAAGTTGCGTCACTCAAGGATAACATACAAATTTACCGCGTGCACTATTATTTACAATGATTTCAATGAGTGCTAAAAATATTTTTGGAACTTGAATTATTATGATTCATTATGTTATTATTACTTATTACCAAGCGTAAGCAATAATGTTATGTTCGATTTATAATATTTATAAATTATAAATACAGCCGTTTCCGATTTTATAGAATCGCCTGAAAGCAATAAAACTTGAGTTCATACTATAAAATGGCCGCGTAAAATACGTGAATTCGCGTGTAAAAAATGCGCGTTAAGTTTAATATATAGCAAGTGCTAAACATTGGCCAAAAAATAAAATGTATAATAACCGTAAAAACGGCCTATACTCGGTAAATTATACTTGGGTAATTCCTCAACTTTAGACATTCGACATACGTGGGGTAGTATTGGCTGCTTATTTTTATAATGAGAAGATAACGAGAACTTCTCAGTAGCTTCTCGATTCCCCAATGATTTTAAGGCTAGAGTTTAATAGTTTCTTCTATAAATATTTTTTAAACCGCTAGTTATACATTTTTTAGTCCTCGTATTCATAAATGTATCAAGCGTTTGGCATACGAAGGCAACATTTCAAACGATTATTAGCTCAGCAAAGACCTTTTAAAAGTTAGACACTAGTGAACAAGTTTGTGTAGGCGACAACTAACAATTGCAACAGAGTTAAAAAGCAGCATTGGATATTATGATTAGTCCAGCCACCAAACAATAATAACTTATAAGCTTCGTGGCGAGTAAGAAACCGTGTGAAAATCACCAGATGGAATAACCAAGATATTTAAATTAATCCTATTACAACTTCCGAGTACCTAATAATTATATGCGGCTGTATGACCCAGTTGAAGTATGGAGATCAAAATAAAATGTATATACAATACACAACACACATTCAGTTTAACAGAAAATAGCCATTCCCCCCTTGCTTAGCCTTAGTTAAACCACAGCTGTAATGATACAATACTGTCGCATATCATTATATTTTGAAAAAGATAATGTTGCGTACCTGTATTTATTAAGGGGTATAAAGTAGATAATATACATGCCCGACAGTATGCAGAGTACTTCATAAAGATGACACTAATAATTTTCTCTTAAACAAATTTCGTTTTTTTTTTAGTTTACCTATGTTATTTTATAATATTAAACAATGTTTAATTTTTTGTTTTTTATTTTTTCCAGAATTCTATCAACTTTTAAAACTTAAATGGTGTGTATTTAATTAACTTTTTAAATAAAAAATAATTTACTGATATTTTTTACTGATCGATAACCATTTTTGAATAAGTACTTTTAAAGTTATTAAAGTCTAAAATTTAGAACGGAAGGTGGAGTGAGGTAGAATACACTACTTTTTATCTTCCATTACAAATAGCTGTCGTGCTAGCATAAGCGCAACTAAGGGGGTAGTAGAAGGACTTTAGTACCCCCAAAAATTCCTTGATTATTACGCATAAAATTTTAATAATGTACATGACTTTATTTACAATTTTATCAGTCAAATATGCATAATTTTAGCGCCCCTTAAAATGGAGGTCTAATTGCACTTGTGCGAGCTAGCTAAAAAAAATAATGGTAAAAGGGATTCCTTTACCATTAAGTCATTTTTTTAGAAATTACTATTAATCGTACAAAAATTGTTCTACATTCAAAACTATACTCTTATTGGTAATACAAATTAATTTGATAATAAGTTGTCGTGATCATTATTTGTAAAACAAGTTTTATTTATACATTTTTGATTATATTTTGTACCACAATAAAAATCCGGCACTGGAAATACTAAAAAAATTCAGTTTTTTTATTATTATTACAAACGGTCATTTTTACATGGTATTTTTTCTTATTGTTAGCAAGAACTTTCCCACTATTATAGGACTTATTGTTGTTATATTGCCATAATCGTACCAAAAGCTCAAATGTTAACAGCCAAAACGAAATTTCTTCTTGTCGCTCGAGGGAGTAATTAGAAAACTTTTCAGTCTGTATGATACACGCGCCAACACTCCATGTTCATAAAACGTAAATGTGCATTTCGCGCTCATAAAAAATTCGAAACGATTAAAACACAATATTAAAGTATTTTACGGTAGACAAGAATCAAAGACTTTACACACAGTATACAAATATATTAGTTACAACACGAATTAGTGCACAAACACGTTAATCGTTGGCGTGCAATTTTAATTGTAGTCATTTTTGTGGTATTTTATGCGTGTCTGTTAAGGAGCGTCTCCATTAAAATAGGTCAATTAATGCTGTTGGCTATTAAACATAAATATTATACTAAAAGCAAGCAGCGGAGTAATAATTATTATTATTGTTAGAATATTAAATCTGTCATCTTACCACAGCACATAAATACATAATAGTTACCATTTGGTTCTTTCATAAAATAGAAGTATATAGATAGAATGAATTGTAACTACTTGTTTATCAATTATCATAATATGAATTTAAAATAAGTGTAACATTTCTCGAGGGCATTTGTCCTATAAACACAAAAATTTATTTAGATTTTTACTTTGTTGTAAAGAGGCTGTTGTTTTAAACCGCATCAATTTGACTGTTGACTATGATATTGAATAATTTGATATGTAACAATTATGGTAGCTATTTTGGTTAATTTTTAAAAATTGAATTCATTTTTATATATAAAGATAATACAAATTTAAATGTATCGAGGCCTCTATGTATAATTTTAAACGTTTATTAATAAATATATTTCTATAGTATTGAACATTTTCTTTGACATTAAATATTCTATTTTCAGATTTATCGCAGATAAATTATTACGGTTTGTAACTGCCGACTAGAGAAAAATACGTATATTAGTTAAAATTATTATTAATTGTGTTTATACTTTATAATAATTAGCTGGTACAATTATTGGTACTAGCTAGGAAGACCGTTTTAATTTTAATGAAAATAACATCTCGTGCAAAAAAACCCAATTACTTAAAAGTATTCCGAATGCTATATGGCTTAAAAGCCTTATAATTTACATTACCTCTGACGGCGAAACGGCTCGGCGAGCTTAATTACATTATTATTAGATTTTTGTTTACTGATATTTTTTATTTTTTGTTAATATGATGTGTACTGAACAAACGTGTTGTTTGAAGCCTTACATAGCTATGCACACGACGGCATAAAGAAAAAAATTACAGACTGACGACTGTCAAATGTTTAATGTTAAAAATCACCATAAAAAACATTTAACATCTGGTCTCATAATTGTAACAATAATTATTATGAAAAAAAAAAAATACTGATAACGTTCACGCCTACACCGTCACCTATTGTTTTGTGTACACGTCAGCATCGAACGTTACGACCGTTTCATTGCTCTTTCCGAATAATTAATCTTCAAGTGGCCATTAACGGATGTAAAAGTTATATTTTTCAATAACAATTTTGTTTACCATTAAGTATTAACACAAGTTTGTTGGCTTTATTTTTTAATTATCTGAGTAAATCTATTTCGGATTTCGAACGACTCTTGTAAGTATATCTAACGTATTGGAAATATGCATTAATAGAAGACGTGACACCTTTTTACTTCGGCACGTGGTACACGTTATATATATATGAATGTAATATATTAGTGTATTACAGGAGATGCACTTTTCTAAGAAACTTAAACAGTTTTAGTGGGGATTTTCAAAACCCATAGTTTTTATTGATACCAAACTTATTTTGCTAAGTTTGTTTTTTTTCTAGCAACTCCGAATTAATTTCATGCATTTGTTTTCGTTTAATGTATAATCTTATAAATTAAATTTGAAGTATCGATTTTTAATAATTTCCTTAGATAAAATCTTGACGACATCGAAACACCTACTGACCTTCACAACTAATATTATTATAATGCAAACTTGTTGCTACGAAGCAAGGGTTAAAAGATTATAGTAGGTTTGGTTTTTTCGCTAATGTATCGATTTTAAATTAAGACACCGTTTACGGCATTACGGTCGGTTTAATCCAATTTCGAAATGCGTCATGCTTGTATTACTTACTTACTTTATATTATGGTGTCTCTTAAACACAACACAGCTAGATAGACAATTTATTTCGTAATGAAAAAATAAATAAGGTGGGCGAGCAAAAGGGTTAACAAGTAGACTTATGTTGTGAAGGGACGTCGGATGCATATTATATCTTATATATATATATGTGTTCAGAAATGTATTTATTATAGGCATAAATGGGTTCTCAGTACGAATATTTATATTAAGCTTCAAAGTTGATACTTAACTTTTTATTATTGCGAGGTCGAAATGATTTTCTTATAGTTGCAAATCAACTACTTACAATTACTAAATTAGTTTAAAAGGTTTTTTTTTATAGTGTTTATAGTTTTATATACAAATTTGTACATCTGTAAAATCTTGCTGGTTAGTCATAAAATGTCAAAACTAAATTACATTTTTTATCGACGGGTAAAAACTAAAAAATGACCTTGATTAAAACTGTTAAGAGTAAATTATCTAAAACTATGTGTTGTCCAATGCTCGTTAATAACAATGCCTATGTATTGTATTGTTATCTCCAAATCATTGGTAAAATAACATATACAAGGTACAAAGAATGAGTTTTGTTCAATAAAAAAAATTGATCAAATTCACCTTGTATTATAATTGTAATATATTATATAAGTAAGAAAATAACGTTGATGCAAAATGTATTTAATTATGTTTAAATAAATATATTTTCATTAAATGGGTAATGCTTGTAGTAAAGAATCTTAGCTAGTGATCTACTTATCGCTCTACTATACTATGATACTATCTATCTACTACTATACTACAAATCGATACCTTTTAAAGCACATAATATGTCCACTTTATATTGTATGGACATAAGCACTTGTATGCTTTAAGGTACCTTAAGGAAGGTCTGCATGATTTTGTTTTACAGTTCTTTCGTTGGGTATCATTTACAAGTATTTTATGAAACTAAGATTTTAACCATTAAAATTATAAGTTTTATTTCTTCAATGCTATTTTTTTGAACGATAATATTAAATTTTTTTTTCATAATATATATTATATAATATTGACGACTTATTGAACTCGACTTGATCGACTACCTGAAGATGGCAGGCAGCTTTTATGCGTAGGTATTTTTGTTGGAGCGCTTGAAGTGTTTTATATTAATATCCCAAACGTCAAAAAAATTGAATTGTCCATCTCCAAAAGTTTTTTTTATCTTTTCATATTGCACAACATTTTAAATTGTTTTCGTATGACTAGTTTATTTTTCTCGAGTGCGATTTAAAATTTTATCCAATTCAGTTTTATTTGTTAACAGTTCAATTTATTTATTTTAATAAATTCGGTATGAATAATTGGAAAATGAAATCTGTTTGTGTTTCCATTCCCGCGGATCATTACTTTTTTTTGTCGTGTAAAATTTAAATCAGTAAATCAGTAATAATAAAATCTGTAAATCAATCTATAATATGAAAATTGCATTTAATCCTAATAAGTTATAGGCAAATATATAAAATGCATTTAGATGGCAGTACCGAAATAATATCTAAATAAATTATGTTTTTATTGTAGCCTAATGTACAATTCTAACTTTTAGTCATGAAAACGTCGACCTTGACAGCCTTGGCGAATAGTTTGATAACAATTACACGGCCTACTAAATCGATTACTGACAAAAATAGAAACACTATATCTTGACACAAAATTTTCCAAACGCCTCTACTAAAACGTGGTAGAAACGTCATAATCTGTATTTAACGTGTTATGTATCATGTGACGTGGTGATACCACGGACAATTGGTATTTTTATATTGATATACAAATTACATGCAAAAGTATAAAACTTATATTTGGTTAGAAAGTATGATGAAAGAATTTCTCCATTCGCGCTTATCAACTGTATTTGTACAAATCTGTCAGCGACGATTGCTAGGTTTAATTTTTTTGGAGTAAAAATCAATTTTCAAATAATAACATAGGAAATACTTTTGTATTGTTTTTAATTTTGTCGTTTAGAATGTAAGTTCGTTAGCGCTTGACGGCCAATATCACCCATGCTATGTTTATTAATTTTTTTATTGTAAATTAATAACGCAATTTTTATTAATTTTCGTTCAATTGTTTATTTTCAGACGAGGCTTAACACCACCGCACAGAGTAAAAAGCGTATCGATGGCAACTTTTAGCACTGAGGAAATTGACTTTATCAAATCTAGAGGAAACGAGGTAATAATTTAATTTATAGTGAAATGGCTGTCAAGTACCATTTATATCATTATCTGCATCCACGTCATTAGTCTTAATTATATTATTAATATAGCTTGAACTTAAAAAATGTTACTAATAGAAAATTGTGACGGTTATATTATAGTTGTAACCAACTTTTAATGAATTAAACAAGTCATTAATCCAATGCTCGTTAATAGCAATACATTTCCATTGTATTGATATCTCCAAAACATTGGTAAAGTAATGTATACAAGGTACAATTATTACAAATTGTAATATGGACAATTTTGTTAAAGTACCTTATATTATATTAGTAAAAAACAAATACAAATTAATTAATTTTAAAGTAGGTTTACACAATCAGTGTAACTGTATACACTTTGGTTTGTGCAAAGTAATTGTACTTGTAAATAGAAATCAAAGAATTGCATTTTTTTTCTTCAATTAATCGAAAATTGCACAAAAAATTTTCCCAGTCTAGCTAATTGTGTAAACCTTGTTCTGAATTGTTTTTTAAATCTTTTCTTTAGTTATTATATTGCACACTAAAACCAATTTTTTTTTTGTCTTTAAATATTTCGTTTAAGTTTAATATTTTATTTTAGAACTGCCAGAGGGTTTGGCTTGGAACATATGATTCGAAACAACCTACTAAAGATGAAAAACAGATAAAGGATTTTATGATATCCAAGTATGAAAAAAAAACATATTATTCTGATCCAGTTGCCCAAAAGCCTAGAAATGGTTTTCAGCCAAAACCCAGTGTTACACAAAATATTACTACTACAACTAACCAAGTAATGCATTTATAAAACAATATTTTTTATTACTCAGTCTTGGTAGTATTGATTAAACTAATATGTATTTAATTTTTATTTTTAGAATTCAATTAATATGATATCACCAGCAATTAGTATATCAACACCAAACAAATTTGATTTTTTCAAAGAAGAGCCTGTTGTTCAAACATCTCCATCGTTCGCAAATTTTGATAATAATCCTGTCTTTTCTAACTCTTTTGATAGTACAAAAAGTATTGGTATGTATTGAATATTTTCCAATAATAATATTTCTTAATACGTTATGTTTAGTTGTTCAAATTAAATGTATTAAATTATCAATATATTAATGACATTAAAAAAAAAATTTTTAATACTTATTCTAAAGTAATAATTTCAATATTTGTTTAAAAAAAAACCATTAAAAATATATGAATATACATTTAATTAAACATAATTGATAAAAAAAATGTAATTAGTTGTTTTTAATGAACTGTTACATGCAAATTTAAAAATTATTGTATTTTAATTTATAACCTAAAATTTCAAAATCAATTACTATATTAAAATTATCCTTTTAACTTAATTTTTTGGTTTGTTAAGACTTAAGTTTTAAGTTTATGCAACCAATTCAAACTGGATATTTCGATTATTTTGGAACAAATCCAATACATTTTTCACCGGCGAGAAAACCTAACAACATAAACAATCGTTGGAGTGAGTTTAACGTGTGTTGCCTTGGAATGAAATAAAATGTTTGATAGATACACAAAAAATTTTGGATAATGACGATTGAAATATTTTTTATTAATGTTGTTTGTATTTAGTAGTCTTTTGTTCATGCATTTTGTTTTGTCAATAAAACTATTATTTAGCATGTTTTTTTTAATTAGAGTAATATTTTGAAGAATTTTATTTACACGTTAAAATGTTATCCTTTTTTTATTGGTATATTTTTATAAAATAATTATTAATATATAATTGTTACTGCTTAGTTAAAATATGATGCACTGTAGTGTTATCTTTATCAGATTATTCTACTTAACCTCCTACATTGGTATCATTTTGTACTTAAACACTTTTGATGATAACAAGTAAAAAAAAACATTAATTGAAACCGGGTTATTGATCAGTAATATTTCATTAAGTTATTCTCATAATGTTAATAAAATATTTCAAAATTTTCATTGTCAAAATAAAAACAATTTGTTTAACTAATATAAATATTTTTTATCAGATATTTATCTTAAAAACACAGTTTTTTTAGGGAGGAGAGGCTACTATACTGATATTTTAAATATCGAACACGGACAATATTATAGTTTACTATCTAGTTGATTTTTCCAATATAAATAAAAACAAGCAATCTGATTTGGTGTATATTATATATTTTTTATTTATAGTTTGATATTTTAATTTTTAATTTTGTTATTTTATTAATTAAAAAAAAGTGTTTAAGCCAGTCTTCTTTCTTAAATAATCATTAAAATTATTAATAGGTGTTGCTGTTGATAATTCGAGTCCATGTCCTAGTTGGAAATCAAATGGTTCTCAAGCTCCATCTGAAGATCGGTATGCTGCGTTGAAGGATCTCGACTATCTTATGAAATCTCAATCCCAACAAGATGCTCCTCCTCTTCCTCAATTAAATAACAGCAATAATTCTGCATGGAGTAAGTTCAAGCTTATAATTTTAAATTAGATGTACATCTATTATAATTTTCTTCTAAAATATTTTTAGGTTCCGATACATCTTTAAATGGTACATGGAGTAGTCAGCTTTCAGAAAATAACTCATCTCAAAATCCGTTCAAAGGTAATCAAGTCCAAATAATTAATATTATTTATTTATTTATTTAAAAAAAAAAAATCCTTACTTTTATTGTTATAAATGTACTATAAGTAACTTATCTAATTATTCGAGGTATAACAACCTAAATAGTGTATTGATGTTTCTCTTACTTTTCTTTCAAAACTGTGTAGATAATAATATGATACAAGACAGTTGGATATCGTCAAATGATTTAATTAACCCATTTCTGAATAGCAAATCAGGTACGCTTTAATAATAAGTTTCTATGTGTATAATTGAATGGTCAAAAACTAACTAACTGCCTAATTTTAACATGACTAATAATAACGGTAATTGATAAATTTGATATTAAATCTAATTCCAGTATTATAAAAAAATGTCCTTACTATATTTTATCAATCGTATGTATTTTGTACTAATGAAACATAAAGTAGGGTTTTTTTACTAATTTATAATGTTTGCATTTACACTTTTGTTAAAGGATAACAGAAGTTGATAAGTCATTTATTGTCAATTTTGGGTATACAGCATACAAATATGTTTAAAAAGTGGTAAAATATTGTATAGCTGGGCTATAGTGTTTTCATTATTAAGCTGTAATTGCAATATGCATTTTTTATTGAATGTTCCTGAAAATTCAAAAAAGAGACATTAGCTCCTTTCATCCTTACACAGACTATTCAATATTACTAGACCGTTTTTTTAACAAATTATTTTAAAATAACAATGATGTGCCTTAAATAGGAAAATATTATCTAATGGTACAACTTGTATTTAAAAATTAATTTTACTATTAATACTTATAATATTGAGGTCAACATTTAGTTAATATTATGACCTTACTTTTAATAATATTATACTGTAAAATCTAATACCTGAATAGATTATTATGCTTTTTATCTCTAACAAAATATATGAACTGATGTGCTGCTTTAATTTTTCCTCTAACAAGCTGAAAAGCCTAAATAATTGTAGTAAATAATTAATATTAATGTATAAATATTATAGATGATTGGCAAACCAATGTGCAATGGACCAACGGTATGTCTTCTAGCCAATCAATGGGCTTCAACGATGCGAAACCATGGAACCCGGATTTTTCTAACCCATTTAAGGTAAGCAGTTTGAAAACTTCTTTAAAATATTAATATGAAACATTTTTATGAGTCTTAAATTTTTCGACTAGGTTAGTTCAGAAATCAACAAACATTCTAGCAACCCATTTTTATGAGAAAAAAAATAGGATTTTTATCATCAAATGGTAATATACAAATTTTATAATTAGTATTCATATTAAATGAAACGTTTTATAGAAATCAGATGATTTGTTATTCCTTATCTAAATTATAAAAATAATAAATCAAAATCATGGCTAGTAACATGCGAGTCTACGTTTTTAAAAATATGGTATTTAATAAATTTTTAACGTTTCGCTTAACAGCTCACTATTTTAGACCCATAATATAGTCTTTTTTCCTAAATAAATAGATATTCATGCAATTGTCTAGTCTTGCAAATATGTATGATTTGCTTCCTTTTTTTTATACAACATTTTATTATTGTATTACTTTTATTATTTATTTATTTATTGTTTAAATTTTTAGATCGGCTATTTTTTTTTATAAACTGACACTTAAAGTGTTATTTAATAAATATATATTATATTAAGTATATATATAAATGTGATACTGCTGTAAAGCCTTTTAAAAAATACAAACATTATATACGATATTGTATTTATTTCAAATTATTATTTTTTAATAAAATATTGATATTATATGCACTACTTTGTAATATGTTTAGTTTTTATAATATTGTGTATTCGTTGTTAGGTTTTAAATTATATTTACTACTTTTAAACATATTAAAGCTTTATTTTTAATTTTACAATTTTTTTATGATTTATTTTTCAGTACCTGACTGAACAATTTTTTTTCTTAGCATGTTAACTTTTGATTTGATTTGATCTAATTATGAATCTCCATTATCGAATAACAGAAATATAAATTAAATAACTTTATACTTTGAACATTAAAAAAATGTAAGTCAAGTAAATTTTAGTATTGTATTATAATATTAGTAGTAATTAAATTATGTCTTGGGAATCGGAGGTTGAGGATTAATTAATTTTACTCTTGTTTTTTAAATCAATTTGATATTTAATCATTATTTATTATTAGAAAGTGATTTTGATTTTGATTTTTCATATACTATAATTATAATTATTTTTAGCTGCCTTCTCATTATAAATACCTATAACTGTGATAATATATTTTTCATTCAACTATACTTATAATGATTGGTATTAAAAACAAAATTCGGTTCGAAGATCAAGGTGGGCCAAACTTTTATCTTATATATTTATATTGATTGTTAAATTAGAAAGCAATTTATTGTTGTTAAAATATAATTATAACTATTCTATCATCATCATATAACTTCACAGTCTTTAAAGGCCTAATGCTGTGATCATGAGATGGTTTCTTGAAAATTGACTATCCGTGACAGGTCTTAGGTCTTTCATCAGAGAGGGGGATGGCGTGACCTTTTTCAATGAATAAAAAATATTAAATTTAAATAATGCATATACATACGTATCTATAGTATTATACTTATCGATTTTACTAAATTTTTTGTAAAATTATTTATTATTTTCGTTAAATGTGGTAATATTTGCTTGAAAAACTGCACTGATGGAAAAAAAATTGTGTTGTTTGAGTTTAATTGTGCATATTTTGAACACCCTTTAAATGTTGTATTATTTTTATATTTAAATTTAGTGTTAAATTATACATAATTATTTAGTTTATTTAATGAATCAGATTTTTACCAAAATAAAAACCATGTTTTATTTTAAATTACTATAATAGTTTTTTTTTGTTTTAATGTGCAAGTGTTTTAAATTACATATATACTACCTTTATATAAATATAAAAGTTTTACTTTAGTACACTTATAAGTTTAAAAATTAATATCCATTATATAATATTATTAAAACATTGCTTATTTGTGACTTTATGGAACACAGGGTTATTAAATTATTTTTATGTATCAGGATATCGGATATGACAGGGTTTAAAAAAATGTATTGTATAAAACCATACAGATGTAACTTCAATCACAAGCTTAACATTCTTACAAAATATTATGTTTATTTAAAGTTTAACTTGATTAGTTAAACTTGTGACAAAATAACCATTTACATTATTAAAAAGATACACTAATAATTCGATTATATTATAATGATTTTTTTTTTAATTCTTAATTTGTTTGAGCTCTCTGCGGTGTACGGTTTTATAGGGTTAGTAAGTTTATGGATTATACGTTTCTAGTATAAACTTAAATTTAGGCATACGATTGACTGACTTACATTACTCTTAGTTCTTAACTCTCATAAACTTCCCATAAGATTCAGTAAACAAAATTATATTTATCAATTGTTGTCTTTGTTAATGTAATACATGGTAAAAAAATATTGTTTTAAAAATAGCAAAATGTATTTTTTAAGTTATTATTTGTTAAAGCCATTTAATTGTACGAATATTAATATTACTTTATACGATCAATTTAAGCTCAACAGTGTAAACTTTTTTTTGTAGCGTTTAAGTAAAAACTTATTACATACATGTGCTATACCTACATAATTTTTTTATTACATTTTACTTATATTTTTTATTTTTATGTTGTAAAATATTTTATGATTTGACCATCAAACTGGCTTAACGTAAATTCTATGATTCAAACATTTTATTTTTTTATGCTTGAAACTATTATAATGTATACGTTTTAACGTTGTAAAAATGTTATCTTTTCAACTTCGAGTATACGCTTAATTAAACAATAATTGTTTAATTATTACTATTTATAAAATGTAACATTATCTCTTTGGAAACTATTATAACATAAAATATGTATTATGTATACTTTAATATATTGTTACCTATGCTTTAATTTTTGTTTAGAATTATAACACATTTTTATCACAATAATATTGTTACTATGAAGTATATAACTGTGTGTTGTTTATTTAAATTTCCTGTTTATAGATAGTATTCTATGTAATAAAATGACAAGTATCATGAAGCTACAAAAAAAAACGAATATAATAGAAAACAGGTCCATTCCGTGTTTTATAATAGTATTGTTTTCCACTATTGGAAATATCCAATCATATGACATATTATTTTATAATTTGTTTAATTTTATTACAGATATGTACTTTGCTTAATTGTAGATATTGTGTTTGAAGTTATAGTAATCTGTATTATGTTAAGTAAATCATATTTGGATACTCCAATAATACAAAAATCAGCTATTAACTGCAATAATAAATTTTGTTCATTTGATTCATAGTGAATTAAAAAAAATAACAATCTAAAAGTCAAATTTTAGGTTCTCAAATTTCACGACTTATTACAAATAAACTATTTGTGAACGTGTTGCAAGAGAAAATACTATTTTATAATTCAAAAAACAGAAGCAAACTTAGTCCGCCAAAAAAAATTTGTTTTTTTTTATATTGATCAAAATTTTAAAACAACTTTAACTTAGTTGCGTTGTTGGTTTCAATTTACTTATCTTTTCCACACATTATATTTCGTTCTCTTAAGGTTTTACAGGTATTAAAATAAAATAAAAAACTTTCTCTATTCATCCAACATGAATCATGATTATCACAAATAATAATTTCGCTTATTATAGTACACCTAAGTTTTCTGTGTTGTAATTATATTATTACAACACAAGAGACCACATAAGACGTATAAACAAATATTTATCTAGGCAAGTGTCATGTATAATATGTTTGATTGAAATGTTAAATGAGTACAACAGTAAAATGTTTATTTAATACAGCTGCCGAGTGGTAGCGACGGAAATACCAACAAGTGACTTGTGATTACTTTAGAAGATAATTTTGATTATATACTGAATGTTTTTTTAAGACATAGGTACACACTAAATTGAGGAAAACGCGCGATAATATCTAACAAAGAACAAATAGTTAGGTGTTGAACTATTATAATAATATATGTGTATATATAATTGGGTATATACTTGAAGATCGACACCGATAAATCAAGATTAATTTTAAAAATAATAGGCGAAGTCAAATATCATAGTAGATGCTTTCAAAAAAATACGTTACCAACTCGGCCCTTAGGTACCTATTCTACATTGATTACAATAATTTAAGTCTGTAAACTAGTCATAGGTACCTATTGTTTAAGGATTATAAAAAAACAAACAGATTAACTGCAATCTGACGAGTTGTGTCACTTCGAAAATTACCTAACTAATATTGCTTAAATGTAATGTCTTATACATTTTTGTGATATAAATGTGGTTATGAATTATTTTTTTTAATATACGTAATATATCTAAAGTCCAATAAGAAAAAGATATCTGTAAACGTCAATTCTTTATATAATTTGCCTTTAATGATTTATTTGTACGTTACATTAATTGGATATTTATTGTGCACGTAATTTATATTTTATTTATAGTTTCCGGTTTTAGAGCATCGAATCTGTCAATGTTTAAAAAATATTAATATCCATTCAATGACATATTAATTAGAGCATATTCTCCGTAAACAAAATCGCATACTTTAAACCATAGAATATATTAGTCTCAAAAAGATATTTTATTTGAATTAATAAAGTATATGTACCTATATCCGATATCGCCGACTTTTGATTTTACTCGTAATATTAAGTTAAGCTACCAGATATTAGGTATATCCGAATAGTTAACATTTTAAAAAATGAGTGTTAAATAAATGGATAAGTGCAATTTGAACTTCAGATCTTAAAGACGAATCCGTCCCAGAAAAAACAAAATTCTACGTACGAATAACGACCGACTAACAATTATTGGGAAAAGAAACGAAGAAAATTGCAAACGATTAGTAGCAAAAAGCTTTCAAATCTTTACGTTATTACTACGCAGTGGTTGGCTTTAAAAGCCAATTTATAATATGCCATTTATTTAAAGCAAAACATAAATTGTATACGACAATATTTATTCTAAAATGGATTTCGGTCAAATGTTCTTTAAGTGTCAGTAAATATTTATCTCATCGGTTTAGTCTTTCTCAAAATGACAGTTTTAATAATAATTACATCTATTTTCCAGAGAAGAACAACTCGCGTAAAATGTTCAATTTTTGTTTTTCCTGTCTTGAAAAGGGTTGGTCTTTTACAACCAATTAAAATGTTATTTTTACTCTTTTAATATTTTAAAGTTTATTTCGATTGAAAAAAATATGTTTAGTCTAAAGGACACTATTTTGAAACATACTGCTACGAACAAAAAATTACGTTATACAATAATTAAAGAACTCATTTCAGTTATTATATTATAATTAAATTAAATTCTATGTTGGAAAAAAAAAATGGCGATGTTTTATAAGTATCTGATATCTCATATTTTGGTCAGAAACTTAATATCATAGAAGAAGTGTTTAAAAACAAATTTTTAAAATACTTTATTAATTATAAAAATGTTTTCAATATCTTATTAATAAGTATTAACTAAGCAGTGTTTGTGAGAAATTCAATTTCT